GGTTAGAGAAATATACAAGATTCATAAGTCAAAGTCTTTCAATTTTAGGAAGATGTTTGAGGGAAGACAAGCACATAGTGTTGTGTTAGAAAATGGACATGGTAGAGAAGCCATGGATTTTAGGAGTCAAGGTGGAAAATCATCTTCTGCATTATTAGAAAAACAACATATAGGTAGCGTTTTTAATCGATCTGTTAATCCTATTTCGCGCTTTGCTAAGGAAGGAGCAAGATCAGGAAATATCCATAAAGATAAACATTCTTCAGGTTCGTATCGTTTTTCATGTCAACTGAAATAATTACTTTTGGATCGAATTATATATACATATGCAAATAGAATTTAAAACGTGTCCATATATTGAAATCACATTCATTCGAAATCCACTGATTCTGAATTCTGGATTCGCCCCTACATGTAGCGCTGTATGCATGCATGTGCACGTTTGAATTACAGTTTTGTACATGTTGAATGTTGTTTTACCCTTATACTTCACATATATCATTAATTTTGTGTCTTGGAATTTGTGCAAATAATAAGATGAGGCAATGTACCATTAATTTTTTTTTTTTTTTATAGACATGGAAATGATGAAAGAAAGATTTGCAAAGCTGCTATTAGGAGAAGATATGTCAGGTGGAGGAAAGGGTGTTTCATCAGCTCTGGCTTTATCAAATGCCATTACTAATCTTGCTGGTAATTAATTTTCACCAAAATTAATTATAACATTTGTGTTAGACATTTATATCATTATAAAGGGCAGCCCAATGTACTAATCTCCCGCTATGCGCGGGTCCAGGGAAAGGCCAGACACAAGGGACTATTGTATGCAACCTTGCCCTGCATTTCCGTAAAAGGTTGTTTCCACGGCTTGAATCCGTGACCTCCTGGTCACATGGCAGTAACTTTACCAGTTACGCCAAGGCTTCCTTCATATTTATATCATTATATGATGATATATTATGAAATTGTGAAAACCATCTTGTTAGGTTCTGTTCTTTACAAGAAATATTTAGAATTAACTCTTTTTTTTTCTGTGTGTGAAATATATAGCTTCTGTATTTGGAGAACAATGGAAATTAGAGCCTATGTCTCAAGAGAGAAAAGCAAGGTGGAGAAAAGAAATAGACTGGCTTTTATCTGTATCAGATTACATTGTTGAATTTGTCCCTTCTCAACAAAAATCTAAGGATGGAACAAACATGGAGGTCCTATATCATTTCTCCCCCTCATTTCCAATTCAAGATTTTAAGTAGAATATTGATTGTTAAAGAAAAAAAAAAAGAAAATAAGAAATGTGATTTAATTTGACAGGTAATGGTGACACAACAAAGAAGAGATCTGCTTATGAACATCCCAGCCTTGAAAAAACTTGATGCAATGCTCATTGTGAGAGCCTGCAATCTTATGCTATTACTTGATAAATCTGTTACTCTTTCCGTTTCATTTTATACGATGGTGTTTGACTGGTCAAGGAGTTTAATAAAGAAAAAAAGATTTTTGACACGTACCACAAGTACCCTTATAACTTGTGGTCTAAAACCTGTGGTGAAGCCAGAGGCGGATCCAGAATTTAAGGTCTATGAGTCCAATCTTTAAGGTTTTAGCATTGAAATCATTATATTTTTAAAGTTATGGATTTATATCTATTATTTATTGCTATTTTGGTGATTCTTTACACGTAACTTTTACTCCGGATCAAAAATATTAGGTTCAAATGAACCCGGTATCCATATGCAACATCCGTCACAGGAAGAAGCCAAGAGGTGTCAATATATTCTACATATACGTACATTATTTTTACCTAGTATAATTTTCTGACGACCCCTTGAATACATGTGGCGCCACCTCTGTGTAAAACATGCTATGACATTTTTACAATATAAGAGCATGTCATTAAGGTAAAACGGAAAGTTTAGCGTTAAAGAGTTTCCAAATATAGGAATGTATTCTTTTCTGGAGAACAAACCAAAACGAAAAGAGTATCATATGAAATGGAATAGAAGGAGTACATTAGTTGCATCATCTCTAATGCTGGAAATTTCCATGAATCTTAACAGGATTGCTTAGAAAATTTCAAATATGAGAATGAATTCTGGTATGTTTCAAGAGATGCTGATGAATCTGAGAAAGGTGTACAGAGGAATGATAAATGGTGGCTACCTACAGTCAAGGTTCCACCAGAAGGTCTCTCGGATACATGTCGAAAATGGCTACAATATCAAAAGGATTGTGTGAATCAAGTACATAAGGCATCTATGGCTATTAATGCACAAATACTATCAGAAATGGAAATTCCTGAAAACTACATGGAATCTCTTCCCAAGGTGAGGAAAAACACAATCTCTTGAAAATATGGTTAATTTAACGGTTTTCCTGTTATAGTGAATAAAGTTCCTTAACTTTAATGTGACAAAAATCGTACTTGCGACTTATACTGTCATATTGAGTAAGTTTAGTGATTTTAGAGTAAAGTTCAGTTACTTTAATACGACGACAATAGTACTTGCGACCTATACTGTCATATTGAGTAAATTTTAGACATTTTACTATTATAGTGGGTAAAGTTCAGTTACTTTAATAATGTGACAAAGTAGTACTTGCGACTTATACTGTCATATTGAGTAAATTTTAGTTATTTTACTGTTATAGTGGGTAAAGTGCAGTTACTTTAGTGTACAAAAATAGTACTTGCAACTTATGCTGTCATATTCAGTAAAGTTTTATGATTTTACTGCTATAGTAGGTAAAGTTCAATTACTTTAATGTGACAAAAATAGTACTTGCGACTTATATTGTTATATTAATATAACTTTAGTGATTTTACTGTTCTTGTGGGTAAAGTTCAATTACTTTAGCGTGACAAAAATAGTACTTGCGACTTATACTATCATATTGAGTAAATGTTAATGATTTTACTGTTAAGTGGGTAACTTCAATTACTTTAATGTTACAAAAATAGTACTTTCGGCTTATTCTATTATATTAAGTAAAATTTAGTGATTTTACTGTTATAGTGGGTAAAGTTTCAATTACTTTCAAAAATATCACTTGGCTCTTATGCTTTTATAATGGGTTAAGTTCATTTACTTTAACGTGATAAAAATAGTACTTGCAACTTATACTATCATATTTAGTTATGTTTAGTGATTTTACTGTTATAGTACGTACAATTCCGTTATTTTAATTTGACAAAAGATAGTTTTTATGACCATACGTGAAATTAACCCCTTGAATTTATTCTGATTTCTTGAAGAATGGTAGAGAAAGTCTTGGTGATTCAATCTACAAGAACATCACAGTTGAGTTCTTTGATCCTGAACAATTCCTTTCAACCAATATGGATTTGTCCACAGAACACAAAGTTCTTGATCTTAAGAACAGAATTGAGGCATCTGTAGTGATTTGGAAGAGGAAAATGCACCATAAAGATGGAAAATCTTCTTGGGGTTCAGCTGTTAGTTTGGAGAAGAGAGAGCTTTTTGAGGAGAGAGCAGAGACTATCTTACTCCTTTTAAAACAAAGATTTCCTGGAATTCCTCAATCTTCCCTTGACATCAGCAAAATCCAATATAACAATGTAAGTTACTCTCTCCGTTTAATTTTATATAAGCCGTGTTTGACTGGATACAGAATTTAAGGAAGAAATAACGGTCTTCAGAACTTGTAGTCATAAACATATCATGATATTTCTACGACTATATTCATAGACCATTTGTAAGGTGTGGGACTTGAGTCGCATATCGGTATTGTAATGTGCTGGGCTTTCCCACCTCAATAGCTAGCTTTTGCGGTGTGGTTCTCCCTAGGTTGTATCAATAGTATTAGAGTCATCCACCGCCCTCCGTGCCCACCGTGCCATGAATGGTGATGCCGGTATTGCAGTATTCGTCTGGGGCTAGAAAAGTCTAGCGCACAGCCGTCGGGGACGACGGATGCGGAGTGGTGGTTTGTTATGGTCCATTGTAAGATACGGGACTTGAGTAGCATATCGGTATTGCAATATGCTGATGTGGGATTTATATAGCCTTGGGCTCTCCCACCTCAATAGCTAGCTTTTGGGGTATGGTTCTCCCTGGATTGTATCGGATTATAAGAACGTTTCATTAAGGGTAAAGTAGGAAATTTGAAGTGAAAGAGTTTCTAAATATAGAAATGTGTCATTCTTTTTTAAACAAACTAAGAAAGTAAAAGTATCATATAAAATGAAACGGACAGAGCAACAAACGCACATTACCTCACAAAATCATGACATGTCTGTTTCTGTTTTTGTTATGTGTACAGGATATAGGACACTCTATTCTGGAGAGCTACTCAAGGGTACTAGAAAGCCTAGCTAACACAGTTATGTCGCGTATTGAGGACGTGCTATACGCGGACTCACTAACGCAAGATCCATCATTTGCGATAGCAAACCAGAACCTCTCAGCTGATTCCTCACCTCCACTTCCATTAAGTGGTGTGTCAACTCCCAAGGAATTAGAGGCAGAGGTGTTAAGTTCTACAGCACAAACACCGTCCTCGAGGACTTTATTCGATTTCATTGGCTGGAATGTGGAGCTAGGAGAGACAGGAATGAAGAAGAATCATTCGACGGGTAACTTAGAGGCTTATTTCAAAGGTGAAAATGACTACAAATCCATGACAAAACTAGCTAATATTACTCCCAAGAAATTTTCCTACATTGAAAAGATCGAAAGTGGCCTAAGAAGTCCAACAGCTAGGGACTAACAGCGCTAGGCTACGACACTGAGGAACGAAAAGAGAAACGAGAAAAATGTCAATGTGATAGGAGGATAGGAAGTAAACAAAACCTGAAGTAGTTAGGAAGTTTACCTGTGTGTAAATACTCCGACCTTTTTAAGGCGTTGGATGTGGTTACTGTTTGAAGTATGTTACTGCTCTTCCTTCCATTGTGGATAGGGAAGTTAACAATGTTATGTTGTGCTTTTATTGTATATTTTTTGTAGCATAAACTCCATTCTCCATATTTTTGCAGCAGCTACTACTAAGTCCCCTTTATAATGTACAAATTTTGCAAAACAAGAGTAATACTACATATTTTCGATACTGATAACTTGAAGCCTGCATTATGACTATAAAATCTTGAATGGATTTAACTCTCAGTCTCAGACTCTTCATAAGTTCATGTTACTATTCTTTTACCCCGTTGAATGAGTGACCTAATGTCCTTATTATGCATCGGTCTCCAATTTAATAACTTTCGTTTTAGCTTTCGAGCCTTCTGCATGTACAAGCAAAAGAAAGAAAACATATGAGCGTAGTGTATATAGAACTATCAATATTGAGAGATTGTTGATATATAAGGGTACCTGAAATTCAAAGTTGGAACTTTGTGCTTTTGGTACTACAGATAGGCCGTCACGAACAGGTAGCACTGCAAATCCATATGTGAACATTGAAATATGAACATTTGTTATTAAAACTCTAATGTTGAAAATTTCCATATTGTAAATGTATTTTCTTTACCTGGAGGTGAAAAGCTAGACTTTTGCTCCGAATCTTCAAGTAGAGAAGGCTTGTAGTTGCAAGTGTATAAAAATAGTGGCACATCTTCTTCTGCCTCAAATTCATCTTTGTCTAGAGTCTTATTGTCAATTGGTATACTGAATCCCCTTCATTTATCATTCAAGTCCATTAGTCCTATTTCTTACCGGTTCACATCGTTCTTGAAATGATGCAGCCCGGTGCACTAAGCTCCCGCTAGGCGCGGGGTCCGGGGGAAGGGCCGGACCACAAGGGTCTATTGTATGCAGCCTTACCCTGCATTTTTACAAGAGGCTATTTCCACAGTTCGAACCCGTGACCTCCTGGTCACATGGCAGCAACTTTACCAGTTGCGCCAAGGCGCCCCTTCCGTTCTTGAAATGACACGATTGGATAAAGATATTACCTTGGCATTTCTTTCTTTCTCCTGAGATCTTGAGTTGCTGGTTTAGAAAACAAAAGTATCAGGAAGTTATTATGTTTGGTATCAGAATATAATGACCTTATTGAATGGATTGAAGATGTTAAAAAGTACTAGAAAGATTAATTACGTGGTGATATGTAGCGACGATGATATGTTGATAAATCAGTTGTCCAACAAAACCTTGAGAGAGCAAGCTTGTGAGAGTATTGTTGGCAGGTTGCAAGTCTCTAATCAAATTGAACCATCACATAAAAACATTACTACTACTTGTTATGCGTTTAAGTTGTATATATTAACAGTATAAAGAATTTGAGTAAAAACTACGAACTTGAGTCAAGCTATCAATCCGAAGTTCTGTTTCAGAAGCTGTGTCAATCTTGGCAATCCGGCATTCAAGTTTAGCTGATACACATCCTAAATGATCGACCACTGTAACAACAGCTCTGCACAGGTACTCTTTTGTGTTTTCCACTACACTGCGTATGGAAATATAGTTTGTTCACATTAGCAAAATGCTTCACTTATTCAATGTGCATTTAAGTTCTATGCACTGACAGCGTAAATAATACTTACACAATCACATTATCTATAAGGTAATTACATGCAAATTTGTATCATAAGTATTACGTAATTGATAACTTGGTAAAAATGATAACCGACATGCTACCACAGGTTAAACTACACTGATATCTTTACACTGCCAGTATATATAACTTAAATCCTATTCAAAATATTTTAGAAGCTGTCATTACTTTGTGCACATGTTGCAGATGTTGTGAAGGGAAAATGTTTAATTGGAACTATAAAAGAGCAGAATTTGAAAATTTTGACCAAATGTTGCTGGAATGCAGATACAGAAATACTTACTCTTTTTTCTCTTCTGCCTTTAGAAAAGATTTCTCACAATAATCTGCAGCATGGTGAAGCTGAGAGCACAAGTCCTTTAGTTCCTGCAACCAAAAATAAATGTAAGCTAGCTCCACAAGTAATTAAAAGCGCAGCCTGGTGCACAAAGCATCCCTCATTCACGCAGGGTCCGGAAAAATGCCGCACCCTTTGCCTACCCTAATACAAACATTAGCTCTACAAGTAATTGTTGGCACGAAATACCATACATACATAAACTCCTCTAGCACCAAAACAACAATTATGCCTCAATTCCAGCAAGTTGTGGTCGACTATATGAATCATCACTATCAATATTGCTCTATTTAAGCATATCTCAATCTAATAGTGTATTGTGAGAATTCGTCATAAATTGACTATAGTTTTACATATATTGTCAGCTTACTGCACCCTCCTTTGTTCAAACGTGAAATCGACAATGTGAGTAAGCTCACACAGAGTTTCAAAAACCCAAAAGTGGGAGAAAAAGTAAATAAAAAAACAATACCGACATCAACTATGCATTAGTCTCAAACAAGTTGTGAGTCGACTATATAAATCTTCACTATCCATATTGCCGTAATTTAAACCATCTAACATTATATTGTGAGGATTCATCATAAATTGACAGTTTTACGCTGACTGTTAGGTTACCACAATTCTCGTCCTTTATCCGGACTTTCTGACCAACAATGAGAGCAAGCTCACATAGTAAGAGTTTTCAGCATCCAAAAACTGGAGAAAAAGAACCAACGAACAAACAAAGTACTCACATAATCATAGAGCTTGAAAAAAAAAATCATATTAACTTACTTGCAGGGAGTTGTTAAACTTAGTCGCATCATCAGTTTCAGCTTCTGCATATTTTTTTGGAGATGAATTAAATTCCTCCTCCTTCATTCTTGTGTCACTGCAATAAGTCCCGATAAAGAACAACAATTAGAGCAACTCACTGTCTCTCCTTATCTCTTTATTTGAAGGCTACAAGGTGCTATTTTATACCAAGAACAAAAGGACATTTCGGTGTACAAATCATCTCGTGTTCACGCAAGACAGGAATTTTTGTATACGGTATCAATATTTGAGAAGTGAACAAATGTATAAATTACTGTAAGGATAAGCAATGCCATTTTTTTATATTTATACCTAATATTTTAGTTTTATTTATTATTTATACACAAAGATTACAAACAAAAGAAATGGACGAAGCGGTGTTACGTGTCATCGCTTCAAGCAAGGTGCCTACGCCCCTCGGAAAGGGCCGAACCCCATGTGCGTATAATGTAGGTAGTCTACCCTGATACAAGCATTACTGGTTGATTCCACGGCCTGATGAACATTTCGCGGCTTGAACCCATACCGTCACCACAGAGATAACTTTACCGTGCTCCAAGAATACCAAGAACAAAAAGTAAAATATACTATGATTTATTTTTGTACTTATGAATTATTTGAGCTTATATGGACGTGGAGAACAGAGGGGTGGTCGGTTATAACAAAATCCCGTGACAAATTATTCAGAGTAACTTTATATGAAACGAGAACAAAAAACCAAAAATAGAGAAACAACCAAAAAAGCTTAAGTTTATGTGTATAGACTGTGGTGACCACTTCCAAAAAAAAGACAAGTTTTCTGTCAGTCTCGTGACCTTTTGTTCCTGCCATTTCAATTTTTTCCTACTTTTTTACAAGTTGCTTAAGAAATATTAATTAGAAAAGACATTTGAGGATTCTATCCTTATTTATGTCATAAGATATAATCTTTCTTTATTAAATATTTATCTTATTTATGTATTATTTTCATCCTCAAGAACAATTATTACTAAGGGTAAAAAAAAAATTATTTTGTTTTAAACTTCTAAAATAACAAATAATTTGAGATAACTATTTTAAGCAACAATGACTATTAATATGAGACAGAGAAAATATCTAAATGTAACCTGATAATAGAGGCGGAAAGCTGAGGAATCACTTTTACTTGATGGTTGAAACTATTTATATTCGATTGCCGCAAAACCCTCAATTGATACGTTTGTACTAAACCTAAAACATTAGAAACAACACGAAAATATTTTTGTAAATTATAGGACAGAAAAATAATTTACGTGTGTTATTTCACTTTCACAACGGACAAAATGGTGGAATGTAAAATTTAGAAAATGAAATTTATTACCCTCTCTAATGAACCGGCCGGTTCATCCTTAAACCCTCTCTAAGATTTAACAAACTTGTCCAAGCCAATAGATCCTTCCGCCTATTCGGAGTGTTGGAAATATAGCAATGTTTTTTGTATTTTTTATTTCCCGATCATTGGAAGCAATCTTTGGAAGCCCTCGGCCAAACGAGTATTTTACAGAGAGCCGACAAGGAATTCCATTAATAACTGGAGGAAGAACTAGAACTAGAATTCTTTGCCCCTCCCCTTGTCTTGTCGCTTCGGTGAATCACTTGGCCCAACTCTGCCCGGGGGTTGGCCTTTTAAGGCTTATTTCACTTCTTTTTTTTCTTTTTCTCTTATTTCCATGGACCTACAAAAAAAGTATTTGTTCGAGAAACCCGCCTTAACGTAACGGGAAGGACCGCAAGATGGTTACTATCTAAATTCGACATCACGTATGTAACAAAAAAGGAAGGGCTTATCGACTCCCCGAACAGTACTATAAGAATCGGTACTGAACATCCCGAGAAAGATTACTTTTTTTAGGCCAAGAGGTTGATAGCGAGATTTCGAATTAACATAGGCGGATGTGGGACACAGAAAGAATAGATTCAGGTGCTCCTGATCAAGAGATTCTTCTCCCTAAGTAGCATTCTTGTAAGTACAGACTTCACGACCGGGCGGTCTTCGTAATAGAAGAGACATTTGGCGATAAGCTTGCGCTTGTTTGGAGGGATCATCATAAATGATTTTACCCCTTATTATAGTGTGTGCTTCTGGGGGGCGCGCATGCAGGAAGGAAGTTCTGTTGCGCCAGGAGCCGTTGCACCAGGTGCTAAAGCATGGGTGTTTTGTATCCATTGAGCAAAAACAGGTTGTAATTGTAGCGCCAAAAAAAACCCAAGAATGCAGCAAACACAAATAGACAGCACGAAATTCACAGCAGTTTAGATAGAGAAAATCGAAACCCAACATAAAAGCAATGTTGGAGAGTAGATTAATTTTAATGTTGAGGCGAAACAAGGATTTGGGTCAAAAGATTTCATTAAATCTTGGAAGATGGGGTTTTACAGAAATTGCTTATTTGAGCTTATCTTTCAGAAAGTTGTCTTTTTTAGATTTAGAAAATATGCAGAAAGTCATAATACTTTTGATTTATAGTTGCATAATATTGGCATGAGATAATATTCATGTAACTCCGACTTGTTTGGGACTGAAGCGTATAGTAGTAGTAGTAGTTGTTGTTGTTGTGTTTCCCCTGTAGTTCAGAGGTATGACTAGTTATATAGAATCATTCTTGGATTATGTCACCTTTTTTGCTAATTGAACATGATTTGTTTTACGGGTTTTTATGACAATTCTTTTAATCTTTGTAATTTGTGTGATGGATTCTGTCAAAGGCATATCCAAGATTTGAACTTTATGGTTTTGGGATGCCAGCGAAATACCACTGGCAATTGGAGTTACTGGGTTTAGAGTTTAATAGTTGTACATATTTAGTAGATTTCTTACACATATACTGGGGTCTGTACAAAGTTACTAGGTTCGGCTGAACCCACAGCTTATATTGTACGCACTAGTTAATTCATTTTTCGAGGGTTGTCTTGGTTTTGGATTGACTAATTTGTACTTAACTATGCTTTTTTTAATAGGAAGTATTTTATATTCTTAGAGTAGCGATAGTTATGATCTTTTAGCTAGTTGTTGCTTTGATTTTTACAAGTGTAATTGCTTTTACGGTTTTACCCAATAAGTAACAGCTAATGCATTGTGACTTATTCTTTGTTCATTTTTCTTCTCCCCAAATGCTTCAATTTAGAATTACAATTTTGATGTGGTAAGTTAAAGACATGCATTCATATGTTGAATAGGTGTATGAATATGCAAGAAATTTCGAACTGCTTAAGTCAAATTTCTTTCCCTTCGCGTCTTGTTTTGGTGTCCAAAAAGTTTCATTACGGCAGCCAACAGGGGTATCTGTATTGATTGATTTCAGGGTTTGCATAGAATGTTTTTTGGGAAAATTTCTTCAATGGCAGCTTCTGTAGCTGAAAACAAGGAAGGATTGAAGTTCCTTGTGACTGCTGGACCCCATGCCCGGAAAATGGTTGGCATATGGCTTTTTGCATCTGCTGCTTGGGTCTTCAGTATGGTTGTGCTTGATGGTGTCACACGGCTGACACGTTCTGCTCTATCCATGACAGATTGGAAATTCACTGGGCGCCTTCCTCCTCTAATCGACGAAGATTGGTTGGCTGAATTCGAGAAGTACAAGCAATCCCCCGAATACAAACAGTCAGTCCAAACAGCAGTATGTGCTTAGTGCACTTCAATTACTATAATTTTAGCACAGATATTTTTTGTTATGAGTTTATGAAGATTATTATTGAATCTTATTTCTGGAGTTATTTTTGTATTGGGTTGCCTAGTGCTTTGACTTAAATTTTAACCCTTACAGTGTGAACAAGGGGATGAATATTGAGGATTTCAAGTTCATATATTGGATGGAATATGCGCACCGAATGTGGGGAAGGTCCCTTGGTGTAATGTTTGCACTTCCGTTCTCATATTTTCTCCGTAAGGGATACATAACAGTAAGACTTGGACTTTTCTGGACTCTTTGCTCTTGGTGCTGGACAGGGGCTTATCGGTTGGTGGATGGTGAAAAGTGGTTTAGAGGTATCAAGCAAATTGATTTCATTTATGTCGTTGTTAAACTCACATAAGACACAGCGTTCTTTAAGTTTTGATTAAATGATTAATTTTTTCTCCCGCAGGAGCCACCATCTGAGTATGTTGAACCAAGAGTAAGCCCTTACTGTCTTGCAGCTCATCTTACCTCTGCATTTGCTATTTATTGTGGACTCTTCTGGACGGCTCTTTCTGTCGTTATGCCTGAATCACTTGCCTGTGTTCGTGGGGCTGCAAAAGTATTACTGCTATCAGGAGCTTTCGTTGCTGGAAATGATGCTGTAAGTAACTAATATTCTCCATATTGTATATGCTTGCGCGGGTTAAGTATTTGATGGTATGTTGCTGAATTCGGAGAGACGAAGAAAATGATATTATTTTGTTGCTTGAAGCAAGATATCTTATTCTCTGTTGTTTACGGTGTTCACATTATTCTCTTAATAAGTTAGGTAAAAGGGAATTCATCATCTAAATATTGGCTGAACAAATTAACTTCCAGGGCCGAGCATTTAACACTTTTCCGAAGATGGGGAATACATGGATTCCTGATGATATCTTTAGTATGAAACCTATTATGCGCAACTTCTTCGAGAATACGGCAACAGTTCAGGTAAACTTCTGTTTCCGAACTTCCCAATTTATCTACTTTCTAAAAGATTAGATATGTTAATCTTGACATGAAATCTATCTCCATAGTTAGCACCACGGACGGACCCACGTGGTGCTAAGCGGGTTCAACTGAACCCGCTTCATCAAAAAATAATACTGTGTATAGGTATAAATTACGACTAAAGCAGCGTAAATTATGTATAAAAATAATATTTGAACCCACATGACAAAATCTTTGTTCTGGCAAAAGTGGTCAAGCGGGTTCATAATATTAGTTAGGTCTTGTGATCGAATCCTTTCATCTTATGTGCCTACTTTATTTTATTTTTTTGTGTAAATTGCAACAAGAGTCACAAAAGAAAAAAACCGTAATGATAGCACCATAGCTGGATATAACTGTCTTTGCAATCAAAGTAAATTATTTTCCTTGTATGTATTTTGCAGTTTTCTTTATCTTTATAGTTTATTATCTTTACATAAATTCAATAGAAATTATATTGAAGTTTATTTTACTCCAGAAGGTAATTTTAGTTCTCCCTTTCATAAAATTTGCTTAGACTTGCACAGTTGCCAGTATATTTGTTTGAAATTATTTGTCATTTGTTGGTTTAATTTAATTTAGTTTCTGTTGGAAGTTTTTCTTTCTTTTTTTTTTTTTTTTGGGTTTGTGTGTGTATAAGATCTCTTTCTTTGATTATTGGTGTTAATTTAGTTTAATTTGTACTCTTTTCTTATTGTCTTCTTTTGCAAATAATAACTTGTTACCTAATAAATGCTAAAAAAATTTTATAATAAATCAAATTTCTTTGAGTTAATAAATTCTAAAATTGGTCAAGAATTTTTTGGTTAAAGTTTAATAAATTAGCTAAAGTTAGATATTTTAAATTAAAATAAGCAAAAATTTGTTTAAAATATAGAGCACCGACTTTGAAAGGACTTTACTACGAGATCACATAGTGAGCAATAAAGACAAAAAAACTTACTCCTCGTGCCTTATGCCGCTTATATACTTCTACGATTGAACCCGCTTGCACAAAATCCTGAGTCCGCCACAGGTTAGCACCATGAAGAAGAGCTGGTAGAAATGAGTGTAGTTATGGAGCTCGTTTTTTATGCTTCTAATCTTGATATAGAGGATGTCGATGCTCAATGCTGAAATTTAACAAAGTTTATTCCTTTGCTAATTAAAAGAGAGACGGCTACCTTGTTACAACTTCACCGCAGGGGAACATTTATTTTTATCGCAAGAGACTGACTCAAGGTGCCTGTATGTTTCTTTAAGTAATTACTCCGGCGTATTCAGTTTCTGAGGCAATGTGTTTTGGATTTTCCTAGCTAAATTTCTGCATTTTGTCTAATTTAAACACAACCAAAAATAATTGGTGAATTTAATTTGTTTTACTAATAGGTATTTCATTTGTCTCTTATGATAAAGCTGCTCTGACAAAGTTTAAGTTTCTGGACATCGAGCCAGACTTGTTATATGCACTTGCAACAATAGCAGAACATGGCCTTATCAAAATAAAAATAAAAAGCAACAGGCAGAAAACTATGATTGGAATGCCAGTTTAAGCATTAATTTTTCTGAATGCTAAAACTTCTAGACACATGTTGTTTATGACGAATTTAATTCTTGTCTTTTGCAGCTTGATCATCGTATACTTGCCACTGCTACTTTAGCTGCAATAGGTGGGTTATGGTGGTCAACCAGGAAGCTGGATATGCATCCTGCTGTACGACACTTAATAGGAAGCACCATGGGCATGGCTGCTCTACAGGTATCAACATTGCACTATCCCCAATGGCTATTTGTCTTTTTTAAGTAAAATAATTTCTATTGTATAAAGTGGGAAACTTTCCCACCAATTGTGTGCGAAGACTTTCACTGGTAAGACTGTGGTTGAATCATTTTGATTTCAAATGCAGGTAACATTGGGCATATCTACTCTTCTTTCCTATGTCCCAGTTTCTCTAGGAACTGCTCATCAGGCAGGAGCTTTTGACTCTTTTAACATTCATGATCCTGCTCAATCACACTGTGCGTCGACCTTCTCCGTCACTTCTCAAGACGTTACCCTCTGTCGTGAAAATTTTCTAATATTGATACCATAATTTCTTATAGAACATATTGACATTGTTAGGCATTTTAAATTATACCATTTGCGATCCTTGCGCAACTTGCAGAATCAGAAAAAATGTCTTTCTTTCTGCCCCTCTTGTTCTCATGCTTTCTTCCGTTCGTCTTATTTCCTTGCCATTGTTATTGTTTGTTTATTGTGTCCTTTTCACTGTTCTTGAGCCGAGGGTGTATCGGAAACAACCTCTCTTCTTTCATAGGTCTGCGTACACATTACCCTCCCCTGATCCACGTATGGGATTTCGCTGGGTTTGTTGGTGTTGTTGTTGTCATGCTTTCCCGCGGTCTTTAGAATGATTAATCTTGTAAAAGAACCAGCAATCTTGTACTTTTGTTTATGCTCATTCAGTGAGTCTTTAGAAAATTAGCAGCAATCAACTTTAATAGCTGAGTTCCGATTGGATCTCCATGTAAATAAAAAATTTTGTATAATACTTCCTCCGCTCCAAAATAAGTGATTTTTTGGATGTTTTCACACAAATTAAGAAATCCACCTTTTAGCATTAATTACCAATGGAATTGACCATATTAACATTTACTATTTCACATAAACACTCCTAACACATATTCCAACACCATTTACTTCAAGGACAATGTAGGAAAAAAATAATTAATTCATTCTTGAAATCGGGAAAAATCACTTATTTTGGACCACAAGAAAAAGGCCAAAAAATCACTTATTTTGAACCGGAGGGAGTATATTCCTATTGTAAATTACCATAATTCTGGTTTCTTTTACCCCCATTTTTAAATATCTGCATCATGAAAACGTGCAGACTTAGAATTTGCCTGGATCAACAGACTATAATCAAGCTTCCAGGCTTTGGTCTAGTGGTAAGATCACAACTTGTGATGTGGCGCATGTTACGAGTTGGATTCTTGTTATAGACAAAAGCTTAGTATTTAAGTGGAGAAACCGTTTTAAACTTGTTCTATTGGTCCTCGGGAGTATATCGATTAAAAAATGGAATTAAGTTTTTACTTTTTTTTTCCTTCTAATGAGTTGATTGAACTCATACTACTAACAACTTATTTGGATTGTTGTTACATATCGTTTCATAATGTATCGTGTTGTATTGTACTGCATTGTATTGTGTTGTTAATTGAATACAACGTTTGGATTGATTGTATCGTTTGCCGTTGTTTCATGATGTCATGCACCAACAATATGAAGAATAAACTTGCAACATTACTAAGAAAAAATAGGACATGAAGTAGAATAATTATATAAAAAAATAGGGTAAAGGATAAAATATGATTATTTAATAATAAGGAAGTGCAAGATGAGACCAAAAAAGCAAGGTAACGACGCCACCACACTAAATTCGCCATTTCATAAAATGACACTTTTCGTCGTTACGTAACGATGAATTTATCGATACGATACAATAAAATTTAAGTAACAATCAAAACAAATATTATATTTAGAATAACAATATAATACAATACAATATAATACATCCTCGACTATATGATAGCGTTGGGCATATATCGAGTATAACCGATAGCCCGAACTGATAAAATGTTATTGAGTTATTGATATCGAGTTATTGGGTAAATAGTTTAGTAATGGTTTAATGTTATTTGACTATTAGATTATTGGTTCGAGTCTCGGTTTGCTTAACCGATAACCCAATAAGCTTTATCAAAATTAAAATTTACCCATTAAGTATATAAAGTCACCCTATGAATTCATTCTCTCATTCTCTTAATTCTCTTAACAATTACTCTCATCTTCAAGCTTTAATCCTTAGGGATAGTTTTAAATTTTTCTATTTGTTTCTTCTGTTGCAATGATTCTTTCGCATTTATAAGATAATGATTTTATTATTTTTTTGTGAATTATGCCACATGTACTGAATAGTTGGTAAGATTAAATTAAATGTCATATAACTTACTCCTATTAACTTATATTTTTGAAAATTGAGATCATTTGTGAGGATTTTCACGTGCAAAGAAAATTTTCTTTTTCTAAAGTTGAAATTTAATCCCTTTTTTGTTAAGAATAATAATTTATTCCCTTTCTCTTAACGGTATGATCATGATTTCTACAATAAAAATATAAAAAATTGAATACTATTTATTACTATCGGGTAAATCGATAACCGAATCGATAAGGATTGATAATCGATAACCGAACCGATAAGGATTGATAACCGATTATCGATACCCGATAAGGATTGATACCGATTAATCGATAAAGACTGATAACCGAATCGACCGATACCCTCCCCTATTACATGATATTTTTCCCTATTTATTGTACGTTGGAAACACTCGCTAAAAGTTGCTTTTACTGAAACTAGCTAAAGACGTAATTGCTAAAATATTTGCCTTTACCAAAATTGGCAACATATACTGGACATTGGTGTTGACTCTACCAATAGAAATATTTTTTCAAAAAAGCCCGTTCTTTCATTAAAAGAAGGAAAAATGTTTAATTTGTCCTGTACTGTTCCAAATTTAGCAACTTTATCCTTAGTTAAAACAATTGTCTAATATTATTTAGCTATTAGGAAACATTCTCTTCTTTTTTTTTTTTTTTTACCTATTACATTGGAACTTCATTAATCAAAAATGAAAAAGAAAAAGAAAAAGACACTGTGCTAACGATAAGAATATAAATGGATCAGAAGTGTAATAAACGACAAATAATTACGCAAAACAATATTTAAACAAAATTTGGACATTTTCCCTTTATACAGTATAACCTCAATCTCAAAAAACAACAAGAATTTTTTTATTTGAAAATATAATTCTACGTGGTTTTTAATTAAGATTTTAAAGACTCATTACTTGAGTCAACAAGTCGACTTTGACTTACGGCTTGTTTGGATGGTTGTTACCCATTGTATTGTATCGTATTGTTACTTTAAATACGATATTTATTTTGATTGTTACTTAAATTTTATTGTATTATATTGTTAAATCCGTCGTTACGTAACAACGAAATGTGCCACTTTATATAACGATCGATTTGGTGTGGTTGCATCGTTACCTTATCTTTTTCTCTCATCTCGCCCTATATTATTATTAAATAATTTTATTTTATCATTTACCTTACCTTTTTATATTATAATTATATCCTATATCATAATTTTTCTTTATAATATTACAAGTTTATTTTTCATATTACTGGTGCGTGATATCATGAAACAACGATAAACAATACAATCTAACCAAACATTGTATTCATCAAACGATACAGTACAATTCAATTAGAGCTGTGTATAATTTGGTAAATACCGAATTACCATACCGAACCGAAATCAAAAATTTGGTATTTGAGTATGGTATTTGGTTTAAGTTCTTTTTAAAAATTGGTATTTGTTATCTAAACATAAAATACCGAAATACCGATACTGTACCGAAATATATACTAAATTACACAATACACACATTATTAATTATAACATAAATATTATACTTTTCTTTCCTCCTTTCTTTGGTTGCCTACTTACATTTCAACCTTTCTGCAGTCTAAGTTTAGCATTACTACACTATAGAATTTTTATTTTTCTTATGTGTAAATACCTTATTTAAGAAATATTATAGTCTATGACTTTATGCATTCGTTAATATTCAAGCCGAACAGATCGAAATTACTAGACCAGATTAACCGAAAACAAATAGAGAAAAGCCGAATCATACTAAACTTAATTAGGTATGGTATTAATATAGCATTTTGAGAAATTAAATATCGAAAATATCGAACCGAAATATGTAAATATAATAGAATAGGATAGATTGTGAAAACTATATGTAACGACAAGCTGTTATGCACACAACTGACATCATTATCAACGTCACATCCATCCCTTTCAGATTCAGCGAATCCTCAATATATTCACTTTCGTCTTCTTTTCTCTTCATTCTTTTCCCCACAGAATTTCCAAAATTTGTAGCTTCGGAACTTACGGCGTTACAATGGCGGAAGTGAAAGTGACGATGGAAGTTGGAACTGACGGCGTTGCCGTTATCACGATTTTTAATCCTCCCGTTAATGCTCTTGCAATTCAGAGTAAGTTTAAATAATTAAATTCATCTCTATCTATAAGTATTTTAATTTGTTTATATAAACGGTGTTTTGATTTTGATTTTGATTTATAAGTTCTGTTTGGTTATTATAGTTTTTGCTGGATTAAAGGAGAAATGGAATGAAGCAGCTAAGAGAAATGATGTCAAAGCTATTGTTTTGACTGGTAAGCTCTCAATTTTACTAATAATTCGTTTTTCTTTTTTAAATGTTCTTCTTTTGATCTGTTTGATTTTGGATAGAATTTAGTACCATTAAATAGTACCCCTCATTAGCTTTAGAAATATAGTTAGTGTTCTGAATTATGAATTTGTGAAGCTGATGTTTGTTTGAATTCTAGTAATCGTTGCTAGTAAAATTTACTTTTGTTAAGGTCCAAATTTGCCTTTGTACTATCCGGAATTGTTCAATTTTGTCCTCCATGACACTTTTGATCCATTCATACCTTTATCATTAGCAAATTATCTCGTATTTCTCTTGTCATTAACAGAGGTTCAGCTTGAAATGTGTGGACTCCACTTGTTCAAATTCTTCAAAAAAAAAAAAAAGTTCAATTATACCCCTAAATGTGCAACTATGGTTTAAAATTACCGGAGCTATGTTAGGAGTCAAGGGTAAAAAAAACAACTTTTTCTTAACGGCAGGGGTTGATATTAGACCGAAAGTTTAACAGAGCAAAAGCTACTCAATTTCAAATAGTACATGGGCAATATTGACCTTTCCGCTTTAATGAAATTGACTAGAGTATCTTTGAATCAATGCAGACTTAACTAATGCAAACTTAAGAATATAACACGATGCAGACAACGAAATGGATAATACCAACTAGTAGGGATTAAGGTTTAGTTGTTCACTTATACTTACACTAGGTTCGGCAGATTTAGTGAAGCTCTAGTCCCTAATTAGCTATAAAGTACAAATATTTACGCTGATTAGTTGGGAATTGAGGTGTAATTGTTGTTGCTGTTGTTTTTCTCTCTTCAGGACAAGCTACAGTAAAGGGTTGATTTCTTTTTCTGTAACTTGTCAAAGACAAACAGTGTTAATTTTCTTTTCTGCTTCATGGTTCATGTCCTTTGTGCTTTTGTTTGCTTTGTGTATGTGGGTCTTCCCTCTTCCTTTTTGTTTATGTTCTCATTGTTTTACTGCAGGACATGGTGGGAGGTTTTCCGGTGGTTTTGACATCAATGTCTTCCAAAAGGTTCATACAACGGGTAATGATTAGTTTCGTTTCAACTTTGTGCAATTTGTTATTGTGTCTCAAGGAACCTTGTTTTTGAAAATTGGAATTCATATGCATTGCAGGAGATATTTCTTTATTGCCTGATGTTTCTGTTGATCTCGTGGTGAACACTATGGAAGGTAAGAGGACTGTTGGTCCAAATTAGGATCTCAAATTTTTAAATGGCTTACTGTAACTTCTTATTGTGCTTCTCTGTGTCATTTTGGTATCAATTGTTATTTATAATACTGTCGATCATTTCGTTTTGTAACTTTAGATGGAAAGAAGCCTGCAGTGGCTGCCGTGGAAGGACTTTGTCTTGGTGGTGGCTTGGAATTGGCATTGGTTTGTGGTCTCTATAAAATGTATTGCATGTGCTTAACTCTTTCTCTGGTGTGTAAATAATGTAATGCATGCTTTTGGTAGGGATGCCATGCACGCATTGCTGCGCCAAGAACACAACTTGGGTTGCCAGAGCTTAGCCTTGGAGTTCTTCCTGGCTCTGGAGGTAACTCTGCATTGCGTTTAGGTTAAATGTCTTTTTCTTTTCTAAGTTTTGACTGAGCATAGAGATTATGTTTCTTCTCAAGGTACACAACGTCTTCCAAGGCTTATAGGGTTGTCAAAAGCCATTGAGATGATGATGGTAAGTCATTCGTGATTCGTCCTTACGTTAACCATTTGCAATTAGTTCCTTTTCAAAGCAACTGCTGGAGAAATAATGTGTTTACCGGGTGCATCATCTTAAACAGAAATTTTCAAAGTTATTCTCAGCATTAGATGGTGATTCTGGACTTTCTTTCATGATAGCAACTAAAATAGGATAAGAAATATGAAAGGGCAAAAATATCACATCCTTATTACATGTACTAGTTCAAGCTCTGTTTTTTGGCTGATTGTGATTGCTGGGTTTTAACTTTAATCAGTTGTCCGCACATTGACCTCCCCCGAGATTGCAATTCATGCAGAATAATTAAGTTGCTTTTTACTCAAATTTGTAAATCAATGTAGAAACAATGATTTATATGAACAACTTCTGTAGCCTAATTAATGTGAACAACGTCTTGCAGACGTCCAAACCAATAATGTCAGAAGAAGGGAAGAAGCTAGGTCTCATTGATGCCATTGTCCCTTCAACAGAGTTGTTGAAAGTAGCTAGACAGTGGGCACTTGACATTGCAGAAAGGCGCAAACCTTGGATGCGTTCCCTTCACAGGACCGACAAAATTGGTTCCCTTTCAGAAGCACGGGAGGTACTGAAGTCGGCTAGGCAACAAGTGAAGCAAACAGCTCGGAATATGCCTCAGCACTTGGCATGCCTTGATGTAATTGAAGAAGGCATAGTCCATGGTGGATATAATGGGGTTCTCAAGGTATCTATTGCTCGGTCAATTAATGTGTATGTTCTATAATGTGTATGGTCAATTAATGCGTATGTTCAGAAAAAGACAACGTTCTAGTTTAACCATTTTTTGTTAACAAAGTCCAGATTATCACAAATAGGGTCATGGAAAGGTAGCTAACTCAGTCTTTAGCCATTTGATAAAAGTGGGCCAGATGGATTAACAAGCTTGTTTCAAGTCTTTTGCAGGAAGCTAAAGTATTTGAGGACCTAGTATTATCAGATACGTCAAGAGGTCTTGTTCATGTATTTTTTGCCCAACGGGCTACATCAAAGGTACAATATATGCTTCATCATGGAACATGATAACTTTATGGACAAGAATGCTGAGTAGGCAAGAATGAACAGTAAAATTAATGTGGATGACTAGAACTTATGCTCCCTAGCAGTTTTAAAGCTTAAATCTTATATTTTTTCCTCTTGTTATCTGCTGTAGCTTTGTCTCCAATTTCCATAATGGCTCTTAAACATTTAATTCTGAGCACATAAATCTGATTACAGATTATTTTGTATCATAGTTCTTATGTTAAAAGATTATTTCGTATCATAGTTCTTATGTTAAAAGATAGAAAGGTATTAGCTGTTGGGCGCAAAACAGTGTGTCTTTATGCAAAGCTTCTCATTGCTAAGATTGATCGCATGGTTGAGAAGCAAGGTTGGGTTCATCTGTTGTTTTTTCATAACACAAACTTGATTTGGTAGGTTTCATATACTTGAGGTTTCACTTTGGGATGGCTTTTCTTTATGTGCGTCAGCTAATGAAAGTTTGTTACCAGTATGATTTCACGAATGAGCAGTAACATGGACCCTGGATCTCTTGTATATATTTAAGTATTCTGTACTTGTTATATTATATCTCTTTCTGATCATTCCTGTTGCCTTTATGCTCCTGCTCTAGGGCTAGTTTGACTTTATTAAGAAAGTTATTTGGATATCTGCTTCCCCATGGGACAATCAATTCTATCTTATTTCTGAATTATACTTTAATTACTAAATGGTTCAGGTACCTAATGTAACTGATATTGGTCTGAAACCAAGGCCAATGAAGAAAGTTGCCATAATAGGTGGAGGTTTTATGGGTTCAGGCATAGCTACCGCTCTAGTTCTGAGCAACATATTTGTTATTCTCAAGGAAATTAATCCCAAGTATCTTCAAAAGGGGATAAAAGCAGTTGAAGGTTATTGATACTCTTTCAGCAGGAACTTATTATATTTTAGTAGTTGATGCCTTGGTAATATGTTGTGATAGATTGTGAGATTGTGAGGCCCTTTGACCATTTTTATATTGATACTCCTTTTATGGTCTTGGAAGTTAGAAACTTACTTGGAGCACCTTATATTACAGCAAACATACGAGGATTGGTAGCGAGAAAGAAGTTGCAGCAGGACAAAGCAAACAAAGCTCTCTCAATGGTTAAAGGTGTACTGGATTACTCAGAATTTAAGGATGTGGATATGGTCATAGAGGTACGGACTGAACCTATATTTTGCCAAGTAATGTTCCGCAGGATGGTTTCTTCTCTCCCTCCTTGCTTCTTTGTTTTGCTTCTCAATTATCCTGGTGCTATAAAAATGCCGATGACCATAATTTTAGTATTCTTAATCTGTTGAAATTGTCGTAAGTTTATTTGAAACAGTCCTGTTTTGTCTGTAGGCTGTCATTGAAAATGTTCCGCTAAAACAACAAATCTTCAGTGATATTGAGAAGGTTTGTCCTCCTCACTGTATTTTGGCAACCAATACATCTACCATCGACCTCAACCTAATTGGGGAAAAGACGAGATCTCAAGATCGGATTATAGGGGCACACTTTTTCAGGTTAGAATTCTTGCCCTGTAACTTTAGTTCTTTAGTAAGGCCAACCCTACTAATCAAGAAAAATTGACCACTATGATCCTGTACAGCTGATTTTCAAGTATAAAAGTTATTATATTGTATGTTTTTTGTTGAGGGGAATATGACTGCTACATGAAAGAGAAGTATAAATATAATATGGGAAACAGAATAATGTGGAACGAAGTGTTATATGGATGTGAGGAGATTATCTTTCACATGTCTCAATATTGTCTCCATTTTTAAGTTTTGCTCCCAGAAAATTTGGGATATTCTTCAATTCGTCTTTTTGTTATTTTGTTCTTTATAAGAGAAATTGGGGAGATATAGAGCAAAAGCTGTTATTACTGCTGCCTAGCAATCTAAAAAAGGGAGGGAGAACCTAGTGAGAAAGACTCCTGCCTAACAAGCTAATTGTTCCTTCTCTTTTTTATTTTTATTTTTAAATAGAAATCCTTGCGATAATTCTGTTGGAGCACTTTTGTTTTGCACTTATGATTGATTTTTTGCTATGGTAAGTCCTGCTCATGTGATGCCTCTGCTGGAGATAGTACGGACCGAGAAGACATCTGCACAGGCGATTCTCGACCTCATGGTTGTTGGCAAATCAATAAAGAAAGTACCTGTTGTAGTGGGAAACTGTACTGGTTTTGCTGTGAATAGGACATTCTTTCCATATTCCCAGAGCGCACATACTCTCGCCAATCTTGGAGTGGATGTCTACAGGATTGATGCGCAAATCACTAGCTTTGGTCTCCCTATTGGTCCATTCCAGTAATTCTCTTCCACAAAGTTATCATTTTTTTTTCATGTGAGGGATAGTAAACTAGTCAGCAGTTCTCTGCAGCCTGCAAATGCAATTTTCATGGTAGATTTGACTTACACAGCTTTAAGATGATTTATGTACTTAAACCATTCAGTTTTTTAAATGCACCTAGAACATCAACACTAACAGGTTTTCTTTCCACATACAGCAGCCTGCCTCCTGCAAGCAATAGTTAAGTTGGTTAGGCATGTAAAATAAATTGCTTCAACATTTTGTAGGCTTCAGGATTTGGCTGGATATGGAGTAGCTGTTGCTACAGGGAAAGAGTTTGCTTCGGCTTTTCCTGATAGAACATTTAAGTCTCCATTGCTTGACCTTCTAATAAAAAGTGGGCGAGATGGTAATATTGCAAGTCTCATCCTTTGTTTTGTTGCTTTCTAGGTAATGGTTTTTCTACTGACACTGGTGCTGCAGGTAAAAACAACGGAAAAGGATACTACATTTACAAGAAGGGAGAGAAGCCAAAACCTGATCCTTCAGTGCTTCCAATTATTGAGGAGTCAAGAAGGCTCACTAATATTATGCCTGGAGGAAAGGTATTACCGGCTAACAAAAGCAAATCTCAAATCATTAGTTGATTATTGGTTCTGAAGGGTTTGTAAAATTCTAAATCCCCTCACCATAACCGGTGTCTTTGTTTTTAATTTGTGGCAGCCAATATCTGTTACCGATCAAGAAATTGTTGAGATGATACTCTTTCCCGTTGTGAACGAGGCATGTCGTGTTTTGGAAGACGGGGTTGTAGTTCGGGCATCAGACCTTGATGTCGCTTCTGTACTTGGAATGAGTTTCCCATCTTATAGGTTGGTACTCTACTGTGAATTCAGCATTCACTTGCTTCCCTTCATGGATAAGTCAAATATTTACTCCTTGCTAGCTTGTGATAACTAATGATTTTTGAAGTGTGAACAACGGGACTAACACAAAATCAATATCTTCTGTTTTGCTTGGTATAAACGGGGAGTAATCTCGCATGCTTAGGAGAGATTGTATACCCAAGAGACAAGGGGATTGTTAAAACTAATCGGTGGAGAGGAATGGGAAAGGATGGAGGGAATAGACAGTCTACAAGTGCAAGTTGTTACCAAATCATGGTGTTTACAGAAGACAAAAGATCACCAGCTTTTCTAACCTTTTTTTCTCGACACTTTGTAACTGGTCTTTTCTTTTTCCCGCCAAAACGAGCACTTTTTTCTTAAAACAAATGTTTCTTACAATGATTTTCCTTTCGCAGAGGTGGCATTGTTTTCTGGGCAGATACAGTTGGGGCTGGTCATATATATAAAAGCCTCAAGAAGTGGTCAGAACTATATGGTAATTTTTTCAAGCCATCAAGGTTCTTGGAAGAGAGAGCAGCAAACGGCATTCCCTTGGTAAGAACTTGATCTTATGGATTTCTCGTGCAATATATAGATCTTTTTACCTGTCTCGTGTGTCTCAACTAACAATTTGGTCATTGATTTGTGCCTACAAATTATTAAGAATCAATTTTTTTTTTTTTGATAAGGTAAATTGTATTAATCAAAAGGGAGAGAACTCCCGTATACAAGAAGTATACCAAAAAGTAGAGAATTTACATCAGAACATGATTCTCTACAAAAGACGCCCAATCTTCTATACAAATAGGGGCTATATGAGTACCAAAAAGCGATCAAAGATAAAGACTATTCTTAAGATGTGAAAAAGGAGACTCAATCCCCTCAAAAGCTCTCCTATTTCTCTCCCCCCAAACTATCCACATGAGAGCTAACGGGGCGAACTTTCACGCCTTTTGCTTTCTTCTTCTACGGAAACCGGCCCAGCTATATAGCATTTCTTTTACAGTGCTTGGCATCACCCATTGAACACCAAAAAGGTTCAGGATCACCCTCCACAAAGCTGAGGACACAGGGCAATGCAACAAAAGATGATCAACTTCTTCCCCTGAGCTTTTACACATATAGCACCAACTAACAAGTGTAATTCCCCTCTTTCGCAGATTCTCAACAGTCAAAATCACTCCCCTCGCCGCTAGCCATGCAAAAAAGCACACCTTCGTGGGCGCCTTAGGAATCCAGATCGAGGAGTATGGAAAAGAGGCCTCCTCTCTCACCAACATACTCTGGTAAAAGGACTTTACGATGAACAGACCATCGCCACGCAAACCCCATCTCCAAGAATCACAAGATGGCTGAGGCATGTCTTGCCCATATAGCAGTGTCAATAAATCTTGGAGCTCCGCAATCTCCCAATCTTGCATGTTCCTTCTAAATGAGAGGTCCCATACTACCCCCCTTCATGCTCCTTACGAATCTGTTGGACTATCAATTCCTTCTGGTTTGAAACTCTAAAGACGTGGGGAAGGAGACCCTCAGTGTATCCTCTCCACACCACCTATGATTCCAAAAGCTGATTCTCCTTCCATCTCCCACCCTGTAAGAGATGTTGCCACTGAAGAATTCCTAATTCTTCATGATGCTCCTCCACATGCCACACCCGAAAGGTGTTGTGATTGCCTTGGTCCTCCAACCCCCTCCTGTGGAATCGTACTTTTCTACTATGACCTCCCTCCATAGAGCATGCTCTTCTACCCCGACTCTCCACAGCCATTTCCCCAACAAAGCTCTGTTGAATACCCTAAGATCTTTTACTCCAAGTCCACCCCACTTCTTTGGGGAAATGACTGTCTGCCAATTCACTAGATGATACTTTCTAGTTCCATCCGCTGCATCCCAAAGAAAATTCCTTTGAAGCCGCTCCAGCTTTTCTGTGATGCTCACAGGAGCTTGCAACAGGGACAAGTAATAGCATACTCGATAAAGTGCTTTTAATGAGCACTTCCTTTCCGCCTTTTGACAAGTACCGTTTCTGCCAGCCTGCTAATCTTTTTTCAGCCCTTTCGATCACTGGATTCCAAACCGTAGTATCCTTATGCGAAGCGCCCAATGGGAGACCCAGGTAAGTAGTGGGAAGGGAGCCCACCTTACATCTGAGAACATAAGACAAAGCATCAATGTTAGCAACCTCACCCACCGGGAAAATCTCACACTTGCCGAGGTTGATTTTGAGACCTGATACTATCTGAAACCACTGCAGGACCTGCTTCAGGTAGGTCAACTGATCCATATCGGCATCACAGAAAACCAGGGTGTCATCAGCAAAAAGCAAATGAGACTCTTCGGGCACTGGGCACCCCGATCGGAGCTGAGAATCCTCTCAAGAAGCCTCCGCCTGCCGCACGATCATCATTTTACTCAAAGCATCCATCACTAGAATGAATAGCATGGGGGATAGGGGGTCTCCTTGCCTGAGACCCCTGGAGCTGCCAAAGAAACCACACGGGCTACCATTAACCAGGACAGAGAATCTGAGTGAGGAAATGCAGAACTTGATCCAACCCCTCCATCTTGCCCCAAACCCCATCCGCATCATAATGAAATCAAGGAACTCCCAATTGACATGGTCGAAAGCCTTCTCAAGGTCCAACTTGCATAGTAAGCCGGGAACTCTATTTTTCCTTCTGGAGTCTACAAGTTCATTTGCCACCAAAGCGGCATCCAGGATCTGCCTACCTTCCACAAATGCATTCTGGAAGGACGAAACAGACACGTCAAGAACCTTCTTGAGTCTATTGGAAAGCACTTTAGAAATAATCTTGTAAATGCTCTCCACGAGACTAATAGGCCTGTAGTCACTGATACAAGATGCACCTTCTTTCTTAGGCACAATAGTAATAAAAGAAGCATTGATACTTCTCTCGAAAACACCATTCACATGAAAGTATTCAATGGCTTCCATAAACTACCCCTTGATGGTGTCCCAACAGAGCTGGAAGAAGGCCAAGGAGAAACCATCGGGGCCGGGGGCCTTATTGCCAGCACAACTCGACACAGCCCCGTGCACCTCCTCCTCCTCGAAAGCCCTTTCTAGCCACTCACTGTCTCCCTCCCCTATGTGGTTGAACTCTATTCCCCCCAAAGTCGGCCTCCAACTAACTCCCTCTTTGTATAAGTTCTCATAAAACCCCACTATCGCCCCTTTTACCTCCTCTTCTCCCTCAATCCTCACCCCATCCACAACTAAGGATTCTATGAAGTTTCTCCTTCGATTTGCAACCGCCACCCTATGGAAAAATTTGGTATTCGAATCCCCTTCCTTTAACCATAGCGCCCTCGATTTTTGCCGCCAACTAGTCTCCTGAGCTATTGCTAACTCGACTATTTCCCTCTTAACCTCCCCCAATCTCTCTTTCTCAGATTCACCTAACTCCCTCGCTCCTTCCCCTCTCTCTAGATCCCCCAATTCATGCATAAGCTCCCTCATTTTGACCTCTACCCTCCCAAAAACCTCCTTATTCCACCTAATAATATCTCCCTTGAGCAATTTAAGTTTCTTCGAAAGACGGAATGAAGGTGTCCCTGATACCCCGTAGCTTGTCCGCCATTCTTTCACCTTGTCACCAAATCCTGGCACCTTCAACCACATGTTCTCGAATCGGAGGGGAGCACGCACCCCCCTCCCTCTGCATCCATCTAGCAAGATAGGCAAATGATCTGAAGTCAGCCTAGGTAAAGGAATCTGCAGCACATTCGGCACCAGCTCATCCCAGGAGGGCGATATCAGAAATCTATCAAGTCTAGACCTTGAGTTGGAATCTTCCGCCCTGGCCCAAGTAAACCTTTCCCCTGACAGAGGAAGATCAATGAGAAAGTGATCATTGATGAAGTCAGAAAACTCCTCCATGGCCCTCGAAATCATACTACACTCTAACCTCTCCTCCGGGAATCTAATAGTGTTAAAGTGTCCCCCCAGAACCCATGGAATGTCCCATTCCCCCATCATATTGGCCAGTTCCTCCCAGAAAAACACCTTGGACCCTTCTCCTACCGGTCCGTACACTCCCCCAAATCCCCACTCCACCCCACTCACTCTATCTTTGACAAGAGCTGCTAAAGAAAAAACTCCGTTCTTAATCTCATTTACCTCCAAACTTCTATCATCCCACATTAGAAGAATGCCCCCGGCACTTCCCGCTGCTGGAACTCAGTCATATTTTACCCAACTACCTCCCCAGACACTCCTCACAATCACATCCGACAAAACTTCCATTTTTGTCTCCTGAAAGCAAACTAGGTTAGCACCCCCACTTTGATGATGACCCTTTTGTTTGGGTCATTCATTCCCCTCACATTCCATGAAAGGATCTTAACTTCCATAAGAAACAATATCCCCCTTCCCCACCCCCTCTAACCGAGCTCCCTTCCTCCCTGTCACACACTCGGCCCCTTCTCTGGTACACCACTGCATCCCCTAAATTATTTTGCTTAACACCTTGACCCATCTCCCTCCCTGCACCATTATAACAAGATTGTTGCTCAATCTCCCTCAACAGTTCTAACACCCTATCTTCCTTCCCTTCAAAAGAAACACCTAGAAACTTCCCAAAGTTTCATAGTTTATCCTCCATCCAGAAAGACATATCCCCTCCTCCAACCCGTGACGAGATTGGACAGGTGTCTTATATATGCACCATTTCCTTGCCCCTACCGGAGGAATACAAGACCATAGCATTGCTAGCAATAGGAACTTTAGGTGCCGAAAGGATCTCGCCATTTCCTTGAGGGGTATCAATCTCTGAAATTAGCACCCCGCTGCTACAGGAATGACCAGAAACACCAGTAGGGTAGCAGGAAGGAGGAGAGCATGGAGCCCTTGGCGGCATCTTAACTAGAATTACTGGTCCGGCGCTAACATCAGATGGGGCATGCTCAACTATCTTCCCAGAAGAAGAAGAAGCTTGAAGTGTAGCCTCAACACAACTAAGCCCAGGAGCAGATGAGGGGGCGATGAGCTGGGTCCATTAGAGGCGGGAGGCCGTGAAATAACATCACCATCTATAGCCGGTGCCGCCCCTGAAGCAGCGGCCATCGAAGAAGGGCGAAGGTCACTAGAGCTCGGTGCAGAAATGCCACTATGTGTAGCACCATTGGCAGAAGAAGGAAGAACGACTGTTCCCATATGCTTAGGAGCCTTAACAGACGCAGCTTGAAATAATCTGGGCCCCTTAGGATCAATTCTAATAGAATTGGGAAAAGTTGTTGGGCCCATGTGAGGAGGCCCAGGCCTATACTTGCTGAAAACTTGCCTGGCCTAGGATAATTAGAAGATGACCGGCCCATTCTACCTTTCCAACCCGCATCACTAACCCATTCACGTCTTTCCCTCCTGTTGAAATTTTGTCGTCTTCTCCCAAAATCATACCTCCCGTCTCTTCTCGATCTAACGTCTGATTCCGGCTTAGTCCACTGATCCGGTGAGCCCTCCCTTCCCCTCAGAGACTGATTTCCCCTCCCCTCCCTTCTATTTGACCTTCCCTTTTCTTCCGCCACTATCTCAGGCATAAAGATAGGGCGAAATTCAGGGCTCAACCAAACCCTATAACTCAAGTAGCCATCTTCCACCACAGTGGAGACAGGGATTTTTCCCCCTTTCCTCGCCACAATCCTCACTCATGAGAGGTCGTGTAAGCTGCAAGCGACATCAATAAAACCCCCACAGATTTCCCCAATCTTCTTGAATAAGTCAAGACACCAAAGATGCACCGGGAGACCCACCATGTTGACCACCAATGATTCGCCGGTGAAATGAGGGTCTAGACACCCATCGTGCTCCACCCATCTATCTAGCTTTAAGAAGTTCCCATCGAACCACCTGTTTCCTCTTACAAGAATTTCTGAAGCTTGAGACTCGTCGACAAAACGAAAGAGATAATGTGTGTCCCCCAGTTGCGATATTTTCAGCCCGTCCTTGACATTCCATGCCTCTGCTGCCCAGTTCCTAACAGCCTCTGGAGAACCAACCCATTTGGAGAAAGACCCAATCAGACAAGATTTCAAGAAGCCCTTGCGCCTGAAAGTGTGCTCCTCAGATAGTGAGAAGTGCGGCTCCTTCCCTACGTCAAGCTTTCGATGGCATCTTCCCCCAAGTTCTAGGGCTGGCCAAGAGGCAGCTTTGATGAAAGTCATGTTTTCCAGTTTTCTAGATTCTAGAGAGAAGTAGGAATTTCTCTCCGTAGAATCCATCATATTCTAGATGCTGCTGTCCCAAAAAAAGAAGTGGTGAGATCTGTCCGGAAAAACCTCAAAGGTTAGGAAAATCAGTAGGTTAAGAATCAATATACAGTTGAGGTAGTGACTTTGGCAGATTTAACTATTACTATTACTTTATAGTATTCGAAGTACCAATAATGAGCAAAACATCACCATATTATGAGCCCTGTTTTGCCAAACCACATAAAGCAGAGATATTAGTCATGGTTTTATGATTTGCACCATCTTAGTTTTAGTTCAGTTTGTCGGGATGAAAGAACAAGAAAGACGAGATAATCATATAGCTGGCAACAGCCACCGAGCTGCTTACCGTAAGACTTCAACTCCATCATACATCAGAGTTGGTTCGGTTGGATCAAGTGAATCTAGATAGGCATGATCAAAAGAGGGGGCAACTCCAATATCCAGTGCCAACTATAAGATAGTTGGAATAACTTGTTCTGCCTTTATTATAAGGAACCTCTCAATGATCTGGGGATTGCTAGCTCCCTTTCATAGTTTTGCTGCAGATGATACACTAGGAATTCTCCTTTGGTGGTTCTTTATTGATTAATTTCATTTACTATCTGTTCAACTTGGGAGACTTACAACTGACTGGTTGCAACTGGGTGCACATTTTGAACTCCGACTGCTTGCTGTCCGTGCTATGTGCATATCTCAAATGTTAACTGATAACATCTTTTGTTGTGCTGCAGAGCGCTCCTGCTTCCACCTCTTCATCTTCAAGGTCACGCATGTGAGGCGATACAATAAAATTTCAGATACTGTGGAAACAGCAGGTGGTGGAATATAGAAATGTAAAATTTCCTTGTAGAGAGGCACCTACTTTGACCTCTTCAGCTTGTATAATGTTTACTTCTTTGGTATAGAACAACTCAATTTCGAGTCCAATTTATTGATGTTGACTATTGACAAGGATGCAGCGGATTGCTTAATTTTTTGAATAATGTTGGAAAAAATTCCAACATTTTATATGCTATTTTTATGTGTTCCAGAAGTGGATCTTAAGTTCATAACGTTGAAAATTTCACTAATCAGGCGTAATTTAATGAGTTTAGCATCTACGTGTTTGCTAGTTATTTCGCAAAAATAGTACTTTATTTGAATAATTTCATTTGTCAGCAAATTGAGGAAATATTTATAGCTATCAATTAGTAACAATTATATATGATAAGATAGTTCCAACGTTGCAATCTTGCACTAGATATGCTTCTATTAGAATCATCAAATTCTATTGAAACAGGCCTAACATAACATAACATAACAACAACAACAATAACAACAAACCATGTGGAGTTACATAACAACAACAACAATAACAACAAACCATGTGGAGTTTGGGGAGGATAGCATGTATGCGGACCTTATCCTTACCTAGGGAGGACAGAGAGACTGTTTTCGTGAGAACCTCGAAAACAAGCCTAACATATTCAAGCAAATACAGGATGTCACGTTTGCATCAATAATTCCTCATAAAGTGGCACGCCTTAATCCCATAAGCTGAGAAACGGCAGGGACATCTTGAACTCAGGAGGAAGGAACCTTAATAACAACAAAAGAAGTGTGCATTTCCCGATCAAAGAAGCCCCTGAACTGTTCTTCTAGATGAGAAGAGCGAGTCTACACATTCAAGAAAAAGTTAAACAAAATGCAAATTTTGATTGAAATTATACTAAAGTAAATGTGGTAGAAGTTACATGGATTGCTAGCTCTAACAAATGGGGCCTGAATGAACTTCACTGCTACATCAAAGAAAGACAATGAATAAAAGCCTAATATTACAATAGAAGCAGCAGTTACAGGCAAATCTCATTCTAAAACTCACTACGGTTTATTTTCAGATTTTTGGTTTGACATCCCCATTCTCATCTGGACGATGAACTTTAGGAAATGGATTATTATTATTAGCAGTAGTTACTACTGCACTAAACAACTGAGCTGTTCTTGGCAGAGGAAGAGCAGACTTGGCAACACCATTGTTCAAGGAATCATGCTGATTCCTTGTTTCACTCGTAGTAAAACCATTACCAATCATATCTTTTTGATCGACAGGGTCAGCACCTCGGATCATTGATGAACATTTTCGTTCTGAAATATGAAAAAGATGGTTATTACATAATGTCATTCCAAATGAAACACAGTGGTAAGCAGCATAAAGAAAAAGGGGAGCAAATAGGAAGGGTGGGGTGGGGGGCGGGGGGCGCGTATGCAGTTGCATATGAAGCAAGCATAATATCTTTTTTGTGGAAAGCTCTAAAAGCCTATAAAACGATACTGTAACTAAATACTTCACAAATAGTTCTAACGAACCCTTAACCAGAAGTCTTGGCTTCGAGCCTCGGAATGGAGTTCATCTTTGGTAGGGAGCACACACAGTCCCACTATCGCAAAAAAACACCCATAGTGGGCTTCCTATGGTGTCAATCTAGATTACTCAAGCCAGTGTATTTCAGACATCGGATGGTTGAGCCAAAAGTTCTAAGAAATTGTATTATTGATGTTTTAATTTAAATTAATAGGGATGTAAGAATATAAAATAAACATGAAAAAATAGATAGGTTATATTAGAAATTTAAGAGACAGATAGTACACATAGGTTACTATTTTCTATTTCTATTACGATATGCAAGGCGTCCTTTCCTTATTTAGAGCAGGTAAATAATTTCTACAAAAAGAGAAAAACAAGGCACATGTTCTAATTCACCATGACCTTGCAAGTGTGGTCAAGTGGAATTGATCTGAGATACAAAAGAAAAATGGAGAAAGGAAGCTAGTGGCAGTACCTAGAGCTCTGTAGATTTATTATAGACGAGGATTCTGAATAAATTTAATCAAACAACAATCAATTAAGCCTCAACCACAAATCAGTTTGGGGCCAACAATATGAATACTCTAAATCCATACCGTTTTATTCAAGTCCATTTGAATCCACTACTAAATAATAAACCTTTCTAAGGCACATGTTAGGAGCACTATAAATCCCACGCTAATCTTTTCCTGGACAACTGATTAAATCCCAAACAATTGTATCGACTATTTGGATCCTTTACTTTGTGCTTTTAGCTAAGGTTTTGTTTGGTTGACACAATATTTTCTGTAAATAAGTCATATTTTGATGTTTGATTATGGAATATGGATTATAGGAAAATATTTTCTAAGGAGAACATATTCCACCAAAAAGGAAAATACGAATTCCTTCACTAATAAGTCATTTCCTTTATAACTATTCTAATTTACTCCATATCAATTATTTCAACCAATACTTGGACATTATTATTTTTTGAAAAGGTGAGGCATAATATAAATGAAACAACACAAAGGATATACTGTTAAACTATACACGTGCAGCCAAAGGAGAAACTTGGCAAAAGTATAACCCTTCTGAACCTGTAGGGAATGTAGCATTTCTAAAATAGATTCGACCTCATCTACTTGTTCCACAAGATTTTAGTTCTTTGAGACTATTTCCTTCCATGTGATTAGGTCTATCTCTTCTTCTTTTATCACATTTAATTATCATATTGTCCATTGTCAAAAAATTTAATCATCATACTGTCATGCCAATGAACCAGTGCATATAGAGGTCTATATAAGATAGAACAAAATTGTCTCAGGCAACCTTCTCTGGCTTTATCTCCATATGTGCTACTTCAACCCTCTGTTGAATGTGATTTATTTCTAATCTGTTCTATCCTGTTGACCGCACATCCTCTAAAAATCTGTAATTCTATCCTGTTGACCACACATCCTCTAAGAATCTGTAGTTTATTCTATGATATCCAAGCTGATATAATTACTTGCGAAGGAGACAAAAGCCAGCTTCTTGCTAATATCTATTCACTCTAGAATAGTTTCAAAGGAATTAGGAAGCTGAATTCGATCATTGGAAAGCAATATGTCAGACCAAGTGCCTCTGAAAGCTAAGTTGCTCGGACTCTTCACTTTCCGTTCCGCACCCATGTCGACATGACGTGGGTGTGGGACCATACCGGATCCGGTCAACCGATTTTGGGTACTTTAACCAAAAGCGACTGAGAAATTAGGGACAAATACAATGATTTCTGGAATCAAAACAAAAGCTAGGGTGAAATTGAAAAAAATGGTATATAGAAATTTCTACGTTAGTCATTTACTTTTATCTCCTTCTCGGAATCTCCTCTTGATCAATATTTTCTCTTTCTCGGAATACCGCGTAAGTTATACAAATAATCTCTCATAATTTAGACATATTTTTATAACTCTATTTTTAGATATTGGAATTATTTTTAACCAAATCTCTGCCCGTATTCGCACCCCCGAATCTTAAAATTTAGATCATGAAGGATCCAACCTCTAGATCGGCACCCGTAAAGGACACCCACACCCGAGCCCGAGCAACTTAGTCTGAAAGTATCTTTTTTTATTTGGACAGCAGATCATGGAGCTATAATAAACAACTTACACAGAAAAGAAGACCACTGTGCACAGGTCTGCGGCATGGCAGACAGGAAGAAACGATCAGTCACTTGCTCCTTCACTGTGAAGTAGCTAAAATTTGTGGTGTGTTCCTTGCCTTGTTTGGCCTGAATTGGGTAATGCTGAAACAGTTGACGAAAGTTTTGCTATGTGGAAAGGGAACAAAATCTCGATCAGTCAGAAGATTTTGAGATACCACTGCCACTTACATAATGTAGCCACTCTGGAGAGAAGGAAATAGGAGACGCTTTGAATACAAGATCTTGCTTTATAGACTAAAGCATAGATGCACAAATACTATAATCTTATCGGGTGAACAGATAGATGTAAATGATTAGAACAATGTCACGAGTTTGATGGCAGGTCGATAGATGGAACGCTTACAACGTAGCTCCAACTCGGTACATTTACGAGCATGTAAATAGACTTCCTACCTTAACCATAAAAGGGAAGAACCAGTTACCAGGAGCTAAAGAGGAAGTGAAAGGTGGACTTCTCCTAGAAAAGAGAATTACCGTGAAAAAGAAGGAAGAGGGATAGTTCCACTTCGAAGGATTACTGAGTAAATGGAGTTCTCAATCTTCACTCCTTTACATTCAGTAGCCAATGGCATGCTAATTTATGTGTATGCAGGGAGTCTGGTCGTGGGTTATCATAAACTATGTCAAGTACACAATTCTTTTGTCTTGATATACTAGTATGGATTGGGTAATGATATGGATTTGAGCACTTCACATTAATCTTTAGAATACAGGGAAGCCCAATGCACTAAGCTCCCGCAATGCGCAGGGATCGGAAACATAAGTAAACATGTCCAACTCAAACATAGTACAATGTACCTCAGGTAGGTTGGTCAGGATACTTGCATATTTGATTATATATAAGGGAACTAATTAACCACATTTAATTATTTTGGTTATACTCAGGAATCTAGTAATGGATTGCAGTTATCAGCTACCATCTCTTCTTCAGTTCATTACATTTATATCCCTGATAATACTACATTTCTCGTGCCTAATGCAGGAATCCAACAGGAAATTATCTCCCATTTGCACTAGAAGACAACAGTAAACAGAGGCCGTCGAACGTAACACTGAAAGGTATTTTGGGGCTTATTTATGGATTCATTGATGTAGATAAATTTGGTAACAGCTACATATTCAGTGAATAAGAACCAGGTATGGACAGAAAAGAAAGAGAAACTTACCTTTTAGTTGTCCTAAATCGACAAGCCTATTAAGACAATCACGAAATTTCATCAACACGATTCTTTCCTGTTCTGCATACGTCTCGGTCATGCCCTGCCCGTGGGGCAATTGAGAAGATGTATTACAGCTAAGAGTCGCTAGGTCATTAGGGGAAGCAACAGCAGCTGCAAACATGGTGTGTGATTCATCACACATTAGTGCTAACGTCCCTGGCGACATTGGCCTTTTTGATACATCAGCACCATCCAAACTAGACTCTTCCACACTGATTTTCTCACCTTGGTCCCCACTTGAACAACAGTCAAGCATATCCTTCTCAGTACTAGAATCTTTCTGGTTTTGTACTCGCTCCTGAGTTGATGAAGCTAAGGAAGCTTCTCTCTGCCCCTCAGCCTGTTTCATTGAAGCATCCTTTTCATCTGAAAGCATTCCAACACGTAATCAGTAAAATAATTGGACACCAACTACTGCAAACGTGTAATAAAATCACAAAAATCACATGGTAGAACCACCAGATGAAAGATCTTATCTTTCCAACAACATAAGATCTGAATTGCACATTCAATCCATGCTCAACACATAACTCCACCTATGCGAGCTTAGCATCCTACGTGAACTCACACTACCTGTCCCAAGCCCATAAACGAGAGATCTGCCGTAGGTTGATGGTCTATGTAGATCTAGTCCATTTACGATGAATCCTCATTTAACCAATTTATGATTCTAAAGTTCTCCATTTTGAAAAAGAAGTACATCACTCGTGTTTCTTCTAGGAGGTCTATTTGCAAAAACATTCTTTATACACAGAACTGATAAAAAAATATAATCTTTTTCATTAGTTCCTTTTTTTCAAATCAGAATTATTAAGAAGTCAAGTTAAATTCATATATCTGTTGTCATCTACCAGATGCACAGGGAGGCATAAGTCTGAAAACCAGCTTATGCATAATTACCTTACCTGATCCTGTTAGTCTCCCTCTAACAAATTGGAGTACATCTGGCCCAACTTGCATGCTCTAGTTAGGAACATTGTGGTATACTTTTGGATAGGGTACCATAATGCATGTGTGGTGACTGTAGAATCTAAATGTGGCTTCTGCTTAATCCTAATTGCGCAAACTCACAAGTAATTCTGCTGTAGATCTTATAGATACTCCAAAACAGAATACATGTATTATGCATAAGGCTTTCATTTAAACACAAGGTGGGGGAGGAAAAAAGAAATGAGTCTCAATGAGCACCTGAGGGCGTGGCCTAGTAGTCAATGAAGTGGAAAAAGCTACAGGAGACCGAAGTTCAAGTCTCAGCAAAGGCCAATAAAAAACCAGGTGATCTATTCCTCTCGGCCTAAGCCTTGGTGGACAGAGTTACTTGCTACCTATGCTGATGAATTAGTAGAAGAACGCGCAAGCCGGCCCGGACAACACCGTCGTAAAAGAAATTGAGTTTCTGTGATGACTTGGTGCTTTCAAGTTTCGACCAGCGGAAAACTAGATCTAATTCATTTCCACCAGAAATCATTTCATACTCCATTCCAATTATCTTTGACTGATTATCCATTTGGAGGAAGAAAAAAAAAACATTCATCCCTAAGCTGCTGTTTATAATTCCCAAGGATCAAGAAGGAAAAAGACTTGAATAGTAAAGCGAGAGAGTGAAGAAAATACTTCAACCATTATTAGAAAAACATGTCAGAAAACAGTCTTGATAACTTCTTACTTTCCAATGGAAACTCAATTTATGATTTTAAAGTGAACAAAAAGGTGGAATCAACATAACAAAGAAGATGGACCAAAGGTATTGGTCGTACAAGTAATCAAAAGTACTTGAAAGATATATACCTGCCAGCATCTTGGCTGTTTCTCCTGAATGTAAAACTAAAACTGAGCAAAGTTCCTTCAAATCCTGTGGTTGGATGAGGTCTGCCAACAGAGACCTTCAACCATAACATGACAATTAGTTTGCTGAATGAGCAATAAAGGTTAATTTCTTAGGGGTAGTTACTGCTACCTGTAGGTAAACTTGGAAGGACCCACTGTTGCAGCATTTCCAACACAAGGACCAGGAACTGAAGATAATGAAGGTAGGACAGAAGCCTTGATATGGTTCCCCTGTATAATACAGTATGTTAATTCATCCATCAATTATTTTCTGGGAAACTGCAAATTGTCTCTCCTGCTTATTTAAGCAAAAAATATCAACAAGAATAAATCCAGAAAACGAATTTCACGCAGTTGTTAAATGCATTTTCTCTGATGAAAACCATGCCCTTCAGTGTGCAATCAACTATTAACAGCAATGCAGCGATGCCCGGTGGATTATACTAATGAGAAGGAACTCGGACATTCTTCACCAATCAAACAGTTGAAAAATGCCTCGAGTTCAATGGTAAAGGATATCATTTACCTGTTGGGATTGTCCATGCCTGTGAACAGGTTCCTTAACTGATGACCCGAAGAACAGCTCCTGGCCCTTTCTTTTCTTGTTCACAGGAGATAATCCATAACCGGAGGATCCAATGGCACCTGTGATAGCAGCATTTGCCGCCTGCTGGAGATATGCCATGTTGTTTGCATGATCTCCATGGAAAAGAGCCTGCCTCTCCTCACTTCCTTCAAAATTTTTGCAGTCCATGCATTTACAATTTTCAGAGCAAAGAATGTTGGCTTGGAAGCACTCACAGTACTTCTTGAGGCAACCTGATTTCTTGCAGTGGCATCCTTTGTTATGCTTTGCCAAGACTAAGACATCCCCAATTTCCTCCTACAAAGGTTTAAACGCAGTTCGAAAGTTACCAAATAGAATAAGAAACAATATTTGACGCTACTTTGATTTACATCAAATTTCAACTCTGCCAAATTCATCCTTATAAGCACAAGTAGTTCTAGAAATCAAGCGAAATTTCACAAAACTACAAAAGAGAATAAGTTCCTAGGACATCATGAGAACAATAGTATAACATGATACAGCTTCAAAACCACCATATTGAGTTGACTAAGTTTACTTCGTGGTTAGATTGACCCCTTTAGGTAAATTCTATAGAATGGTTATTAGACCTACTATATCGTATGGGGCAGAGTGTTGGCCAGTCACGAACTCACACATTCAAAAATGAAAGTAGCAGAAATGAGGATGCTTAGATAGATGTGTGGGCATACTAGGAGAGATAAGATTAGGAATGAAGATAAACGGGACAAGGGGCTGAGATGGTTCGGGCATGTGAAGAGAAGGAGCGCAGATGCCCCAGTGAGGAGGTGCAAGAAGCTGGCATTGATAGGTCTGAGGAGAGGTAGAGGTAGACCGAGGAAGAATTGGGGAGAGGTGATTAGACAGGACATTGACACATCTTCAGCTCACCGAAAACATGACCGTAGATAGGAGAGTATGGAGGTCAAGGATTAAGATTGAAGGTTAGTAGGTAGTCGAGCGATTTTCTATGGGAGAGCATGGTTCTAGTTTAGAGCACCTTATCTGCTCCCTCTTTACTTTATCAGTATTATTGTTATTATTCTATTATTTTCTTATCCCTCAAATTTATTAACACTGTTGTTTCTTTTACTTTGAATATCTTTACTATTTTGCTGTCAATACTTTTTTCTTCAATATTTTTATCTTAGCTTTTTTTACTCTTGTATTTTTCAAAACTATTTTGAAAATATTTTTCTTCAGCCGAGGGTCTATCGGAAATAAAATTCTATTGACACCATACCTCTTTATACAACTCGCAAATTTTCAAGAAGTCAAACTCAGTCATTCAAAATCTAAACTCTGATGTGATGCTTTCTCAGTCAAACTAAAATTCAAAGGGTGCATTGGTTATGAAAAAGCCTTTAAACGAAGAACCTTTCTTACTCTTACACGCAATACACAGAATATAGATTTATATTAGATAAGGTACAAATATAGGTTACTTTTTACTGTTTGCAAGACTAGTCAAAATTCCAGTATTCAAATGCAAGCTTGAATAACCACTGACATTTACATTTATTACAAGCTGAATTCGAGCTCAAAGTCAAACTAAAAATTGATCCTAATTGACTACTCAAGCTCAGAAAGTTCAAGTAAATATTGATTATATTGCATTTCCTACTTTTCATATCAGCAATTTTTAACCACGTCATTGCCTGAAGTGAATCTGAATAAACAAATAGTATCATAGACCACAAGGACATTAACGAGAGTAACATATCCAGGATATCTCAGATCTCTAGCATAATTAGAATAAAGATTTTTTATGAATAGTTCAACTTTTAAGAAAGCATCATCCACAAATCCACTTAGTTTTAAGAAGTACCTTATTATCTCGAGCTCCATGTGGACTGCTGGCGATTTTAGGCCTGAATGCATGTGGATTACGCTCTAAAGTAGCTTCAACTGCTTCACGTCTAGCAGGCTCATTTTCGACATTATTATGACAATTGTTACAATTGCACCCATCACAGTATATGCCAGATGCAAAGCATTCACAATACCTGGTCCAAAAATATAGAAAGAATAAAGAAAAGTCACATTGCATAAGAACTAAAGCAGTGACTCTAATAGTGTAGTAATGCATAAAAGCGAAATAAATCTAACTGTGAGAGGGAAAAAAAAGGGATTAACTTAAACCATCCAAAATACACCAATGTCCCACAAACTGACCTTTTCCACGGGTTGGTTTTCAACCCAAGAAAACCAATGTGGTGGTTTATTTTGATTTTTATATATAAAAAGCTGCAACAACTCAAATAAAACCTCCATTTTCAGAATGTAGACTGTGTACATGTATTGCATGGCCACTTTGAAACAAATAGTCCATTTATTTCATGGCTAGAACCTAATGGCCAAAAGGTTCATTTTTGCAAATGGTGAATTTACTAAGAACAGTGTGGTTTTATATGTGGGCTATAGCTGGTAATTTCTGTATGTATTCGTGTTATGTATAAACCACAAACTTCCATGTATAGCACAAAAACATAAACTCTAAATCCCAAATTTATCATATGTAAAGTCTATAATCCTAAACTTTGAGCCCCTAATGTAATGTCATATAACCAAAAACACCAGACTTTCTAACGTATAGTTTAACCGTAAACACCTAAACTACAATCCATACTGAATCTGCCCAAATCGTCGTCAACCAACCAACCACAAGCTAACTAAACTAATTTGATTGGATATTTTGGAAAAAACAGTGCAAAATATGATTAGGTTATGGTTTTAGTTCAAAATCACCCCAAACCTATGTTGCTCGGACTCTCCGAAAATGTTGCTGGGTGCGTGTCGGATCCTCCAAAAATAGTGTATTTTTTTAAGGATCCGACACGGGTACGACATCATTTTGGAGAGTCCGCGCAACATAGCCCCAAACCGCCTATGTACATCCATGTACACATCTAGTCATCATTGATTGGAAATCGTATGCGGCAGAGAATACCACTATGTGCATGTGCTCACAAGATTAATGCAAAGACAGTCAGTACTATGACATAAAGAGAAATAATTCACATATGCTCCTGCAAGTGAAACTTCGCGAACTTGAACAGATTAAGAGAAAAGGCCCTAGAAAAAGCATTGAATCGAGCTGGTGCCCGAGGTAAATTTAAGTGATGGACTAGGCTTTAATCTCATTATTATCCTTCCTTTTACAAAATTACCAATAAGCCCTAGGATAAAATTATTAGCTTCTTTAGAACAGGGATTAAACATATCGAAGGTGCCAAAAGGAGTAAAATATCCTTACAATATCTGGTCGTTTCACATCTTTATTTTCCATTTTCTTAATCCTTCCTGTAGGGAATGGTTTAGTTGATAATATTTGTTTGGACCAATGAATATGTTAATTTTTTATGACACATCTATGCTTGATTACCTCATGTATATCCCTTCCAACAAATATTTTGCCATCAAGAAGGGAAAAAATAGAAATTTGAGAGCTTATCAGTGCTGCCTTCATCTGTTTGCCATCCATTAATAGATTTTAGTTATTTTTGAGATATTCCACATATCTGTATGAGACGGAGGTAGTACTTACAACTTTAGACATCGAGAGTGTTTGCAGTTACACTGCTTCTGCTTTTTAGGAGTACCATCTTTTACCTCACTAACACTTTGCCTTGGCCGTGCTCTTGGAGAATCTGGTTTCCTGGAAACAGTTAACAGTGAGTATTAGCATCATATAGATCATATTCAGTCTAAGCTAACATAAAAATGCTCCCTCTCACAGCTTCGTAAATCAAAATCCCAAAAGCTTGTGTAGAGCCCACAAACAAACCCTAGACCGATGATGATCAACAGTTAGAAATGTGACTACTTCACCAACTCCCCCCCACCCCCCCACCCCCCACACACACAAAAAAAAAATCACAAATACACCCAGCATTTAACATGTTTGAGGTGAGCAAAACGAGATAGCTGTAGATATTAATATTACTTATACAAGAAACAGAGAGCTCTTTGATAACTATGTCCAATTTCAAGTCTGAGAGATGTGAGACAAGCATTATATTAATTTGTGGTTAGCCACTCTGAAATCACTCTGATTAGCTGATCATATAATCTTCTGTCTTGTTTAAACTGTTAACCTTAAACAGAGAGCTCTTTTATAACTATGTCCAATTTCAAGTCTGGGAGATGTGAGACAAGCATTATCATGTACACTGATGATGATTTAGAAACTTATCGACAAATTTAGGATCAACAAGACAGAAGATTATATGATCAGCTAATCAGAGTGATTTCGGAGTGGCTAACCACAAATTAATATAAGGTTAACAGTTTAAACTAAAGAAATTTGTGCGACAGAAACAAACTGAAAAGTCAAATCTTTTTGTGAAGTAGACCCACAAGCGTAAATGGAAACCAATTTGGCTGGAGCATGCCTACATGTGTACAAATATTGTTTCTCCGTAAGTTAGCCAATAGTTGCAAAGGACTTACAAGGTTGTAAGGAAAGGATCACGATTATCATCTCTAATGTCCTGTATTGCTCACCAGTCAACCAAAGTATAGAAACAAAGAATCACTCATAAAAGCCTAGCAAGCTGGAATCCAGAACCTATAAAGTTTAAATTCAGTTACTAGCATTTGAGGTCGTTGTCGTAGAATCCAGAACCTATAAAGTTTAAATTCCTCGGTGTGTGTATGTATATATATATATATATATATATATATATATATATATATATATATATATATATATTAAGAAAGCCATTAAATATTTATAAATATTTGACTTTGAACACAAGATATTATTCTATATTAACTTGTGGTCATTGTAGAAACCAACAAACTTCAAATTCTGAATCGGCCTCTGCCTGTAATACCGTTCCCACAGTTCCCAGGCATCTTATATTCTCTTCCTACATGCTCAAAGATGCATTCTTTAGCAAATAACAAACAAATTATAGAGTTTATAACAAATTTTTAACTACAATTTCCTCTAACCCTGACAAATTTCAGTTAAATGAGCTAAAAGAGACCCCTTTTCCGTAGATACTTACAGAGGAGGTCGTATTGAAGGATGAGTAGTCGGCACCGCAGTTTGTTTCGTCGGCATTAACACCATATGTTGCTGCGTCTGTGGCCTTTGCAGTTGTATCGATTTCACAAGCGGTTGAATCTGCTTTGTTTGCTCCGGCATAGCGGTGGCCGGAGATTGACCGCTACTGCCACCGAACACCGTGAAATCCAGCTGCCTAGCCAGCTTCTTCGCCGGGAAATCCACTGCCACCTGCGGCTGCACCGTCGTAGCTGCAGCAGCAGAAACAGCCACCTCCGATTGAGCCTTGTTAGGAGGGAAAAAATCCCCTCCCTCACTATTCTCCATTCAAACACACAATAAAAACTCACCAAACACCCAAAAATTACAAAATCTCACAAATTCACTGATTATCCACTGCAAATACCACGATAATTCCACAAATTTCAACAAATATAACGAAAAAACTGTTTAAAATTCAAATTTTCGACAGGTTAAGCTGTGTAATTCGAAAATCAGATTCAAATTACAAAAATCCAGCGAATGTTGGCTACAAATCCACTCAAATTATTCACCTAATTCAACAATAAGTTCGATCGACAAATACACATACACTGTGTGTGTGCGTGTTTTATGTATGTACACAGGCGGAAGGAGAAAAGAAGGGATTTTTTCGAAGAAGAGAAGAAGCAGCAAATATTGCTGCTCCCTCTAAAGCTTTTGAAATTCAATTTTGTAAATATTGGACGGTACGATTTCGGTAAAAAGGTTCATCGTGCGGTGTCTACGGGGAGAACTAATCTAACGGCTTAAATTCATAGAAGCTTTGTAGGATTATTTATAACCGTCGGATCATAAGATATATAGAATGCGTTTCGTCTTTTTTACATGCTCATTCATCTAAATAGAATGACACTTTTATTATTTAATAACTAAATATTATATACAAGAAGAACAAATTATGTAAAATAACAATGGATATGATAACAGATGGTTTGTAACATTTATTTAAAAGAAAATAAGTGTATTATTGACATTATAATTGAACTCAAAATAATTAAAAATCTTACCATGGAACAATAAATAATTTAGTTAAGTTAGTTAGGTTGATTTGTGATTCTACTGTTAAAGTTCTCTATAACCATCTCATTTGTTCTTATCTTTTTTATTATTGTTATAGACAAAAATTATCCAGAAAACCAATTTTTTTTCATTTTTAAATATGCATCAACATTTGTTGTATTCAATTTTTCTTTTTCTTTTTTAAATATGCATCAACATATATGCTTAAGCAAAGAAACTGGAAAAAAGCCACAAGAAAAGTAAAACAATTTTTTTTTCTCATTTATATGTTTTTGTTGCTTCGGGAATAGAAAAGAGGTTTGATATATCTATCCACAAATTTGTTTATGTTATTTTCAATATTTTTCAAGTCAAGGCATTTAGGTTGCTTGTTTTAGAGGATAGATTTTTCTAGGCAGTCTCGGATACTTAGTGACCATTTGAGTAATTGGCTCTATTGAAGAAAAAAAAATTAAAGCATACAGAAAAAATTATATGATGAAGAAAATAAATTACCTTAATAAATAAGGAAAAAATACTCCCGGCGATAATAGTTGTTTACTTGTTTAAACCTGAAATAATGGAACTCAACAACAAAACTAATATAAAAAATAATATTGCATCGCAATATAAAAGTACTTGGCTTAAATTAAATATATAAAATAAAACCTGAAGGATGAAAAACACTATTATGGTTAAAAACACCAAATATTGTATCAATAAACTTTAAATTCTCCTTGTATCGAAAAAGAATAACACGTTTCGATATTTAAAATTTTCTTAAACATAAAACTTATATCTTTTCTATTGACATGTTCTTATAGTTAGAGAAATGGTATGAAAACTTTGAGACGATAAAATTTGTAAAATACTTTTGATATGTTGCAGGATTCTTTCTCTTTTTGTCCCTTAACTTTGTGTTCTATCAAACAAATACTTTTTTTTTTTTTTTTAGATAGGATGGAAGTAATAATATTTTTCTTTCTTTTTTTTTTTTGTAGATTATGAATATAGTATAAAGTTTTTTTAAATAAAAACTAGTGCGTTGAATCTTCAACCGCGAAAACCTATAAAATGCTGTATTTTTCTTGAGATGAAAGAGAGTAGGATTATATAACCACCAAAGGATGTGGTGCAAGGATGAGACTGCTCTTCCCTTAACCAGAGGTCTCGGGTTTGAGCCCTGAGTATGGAAAAATCATTGGTAGGGAGCGCTTCTTCCCGAATGGGACCGTACGCGGTGCGAATCCGGATATAATCGGACTCCAATGCAGGTACGAGTAGGATTATATAAGCTCATATAATTGTCAAGAGACCAATGGTAAGACGCCGTGTGGCATGGCATTAAGCGCCACCATTGCTTGGGAAGAGAAGAGCGGGAAATTAGGTGGGCTCGAGAGCACGTGATTATTATTTTTATTTTATTTTTTAATATAGAGGGAATCTCTCTGCTATGCTTAATTTGAAGAAAATAAAATAAGGTAAAATGCAAATAGTAGTAGTAATAGGTTTTGGCTCTAAAGGGTCCACGAAGATGTTGACTTTTCTTGGGGAAGTGCACAATTCTTATGGCAGTTATTTAGGAATTAATTAATACTTATTTTATCACAAAAATTTAAACTAAAAATTTTAAGTTTAAAACAATTCAGGATACGTTCCAAATAATTAAATTGAAAAACTAAAATTTAGAATATATTGACTAATTTCTAAATAACAGCATTTTAAATTGGCTATTTGGTGTCACTTCTATATATATATATATATATATATATATATATATACTCTTTTTCTTTTATTATTTCACAACATTGGCGTTGTTGTACACGGTAAGTAATTTCTATCTTAGCCTATCATCTTATTAATGTTGCATCGCCTAATTGGCCCTGCTTGAATAAAATTCTTGGTCTTCCACTAACTCTGATAGATTTTATCACAAAATTTGCTTATTACTGTAAGTAAGACACTGCACGCATTGTGATACTTGATTCAGGAAAAGTGTAAACTACAGAACATAAAAGAATATATCAATCTTAAGGATTCTTCGGATTAATTACAGATCCAAGTCAACAATAGAAAGATTTGAGTTTTAGATTTTGATTAGTTTTTAGATTTTGTATTTCAAATCCCGTATATCTAGGTAAATATATACTTAGTCAAATATAGCAATAGAATCTTGAAAATAATAACCCAAAAAATAAGGTAAGTAATCTACTAAAAGTATAAATTAAAATAAACATACTGAAATGTTGTACTATGTCATTTTATATATGGAAAAGGGTCATTTATGTCCCTCTGCTAGCTAAAATAAGCTAGATCTTCGTCATGTTATACTATTTGATTAAATTGTCCCTGCCGTTCAAGTCTCTCGTTCAAACTACCTCTCTGCTGTCAAATTTCAATTTTAAATTATAAAAAGTCACGTGTCAGATTCATATTGGCTAAACTAAACCCACCACTCTTTTTTATTCGACCCAACCGACCCGTCCAAATCTCTCACATGTCATCTTCCCCAACCTCACCCTTTCTTTCTTTCCAATAACTCATTCCTCTAAATACTACGGGCAGATCAATTGCCACCCAAAAGGAATAAGATCTCACATACATTCCTTAAAAAAAGTAAGTGTTAACAGGTCAAAATCATAAATGGTTAACATTTAGAATAAATTCCTCAAAAAATGAAAATTGAAAATTTAACATTCATATAATTAGCTCATTAAGCTCAGTGCTACTGTTCATCTACGAAACTAAGCGCTAAATCTAAAAATTTACACCAACTAACACAAAGAAAACTGGTTTGAAGAGGAATAAAAGAAAAACATGTATGCCTATCGAAAAAAATCAAAGGAACTATAGCAAGTGCTGATAGAGAATCAATTATCTCTGCAAACATGTGGTCTGCTTCATCAAAGGCAAGAATCTTCATGCAACTCATGCCCATTTTTTTTGTTGTGCCCCACTTTTGTATACAGCCAGATCTCTCTATAACAGCATCCCTGCATAACAACACTTTACTATAAAAGTCGAGCTTTTCGGGAACTAATTTTCATGTTATGTTATAATATATGTTCTATATAACAGCACTTCGCTACATTCAAAAATATTCGGAACAAACAAGATTGTTATAGAGAGGTTTGACTGTAGTTCTAAGAGTGCCAATTATTACTTGTGCTGAAACAGGCGGACGCTTTGAAATTGGTACATAGTTGGCTGCATTTGCTTGGATAGCTAATTCAGATATTATTTATACCAGTGAAATTTCCCCATTCTTAACACCACGTCCATATTCTGCAGCATTTTCCACTATTTTAAACCAAACCTTCTGAAGTTTTTATTTTTTTGAATTGATGAAGAATCTTCTTAATATTCTCTTTGAAATGTAACATTAAAAGAGATCCTTCTTCATATCAAACACTAAAACATATCCTTCTTCCTCCAAATACTATGGGGTTAAATGGAGGAATGAGTTGCCTAAGAAAGAAGGAAAAGGTGAAATTGGAGAGTGCACTTTTAGGGGTTTCTCACTGAGTTGTTTTCGGGTGGGTCGGGTTATTTGGGCGGGTCGGTTGGGTCAAAGTAAAAAGAGGGTGTGGCTTTAGTTGAGCCAATAGGAATTGAAACGTGGCTTTTTATAATTTAAAATTGGAAATTGACGGCATAGGGGCCTTTTGAACGAGAGACTTGAACGGCGAACAATTTTAATCAAATAGTATAACACGGGAGATCTAGCTTATTTAGCTAGTAAAGGGACATATATTACTCTTTTCCCTTGTATATAAGTTAAATCCTAATAGAAAGTTGTTAAATGAATTCAAATTATTACTTACACAAATAGAAGCATCAGTACAAAATACTATCCCAAAATAACATCAGTACCTCTAAAACTGGATACTTAATAAAACTACAAACTACAAACTGGTTTAGGCCCTTAGTCAAAGCTGATGATGATGATGTTAAAGAGACCTTCAGCAAACTCAATGCTTCTGACTTGCCAACACTGATCACTTGCTCTTCAATATCATGCATAGGCACATTTAGTTCTTGGAGTAAGCGCATAGTTGATGTTGAAGACTGAGGTCTCACTTCCAAATTGTCCATAACATAGAAAAGGGAGGGTGCCTCAGCAAACTTTCCAAAATTGCACAGAAAACTAGGGGTGGCAAATGGGCGGGTTGGGCTGAATTTGGGTGGGTCAAGATGAGTTAGGTCAATAAATGGGTCATTGCCCAACCCAACCCAAAGTGTATTTGGGTTAAGATGGGCTGGGTCAAGATGGGCTAAACAATGGGTCATAACCCAACCCGCCAACTTGACCAATGTTTTAGAATCATGCTCATCTTGCATAAAAAATACTTTTTACCTTAAAATATGTAAGTTGACAAATATTTTATGGGTGGGGGTGGAGGTGGGGGTGGATGGATGGTGTAGAAAAACGAAAAAATATAAAACAGAAAATTAAAATTATAAAAAAAAAAAGTAAAAAAAAATAATTGAGGGGTTTTGCCCCGGGGTGCAGAAAAATAAAAAAAATAAAAAATTGAAAATACAAAAAAAAAAAAGTTAAAAAAAATTTTTTAGGGGGTTTGCGCAGAGTGTGGGGGGTGGGGGTGGGAGGGTAGGGGTAGGGTGTGTGGTGTAGAAAAATAAAATAATTGAAAATTGAAAATACAACAAAAAAAAGATGAATTTTATTAGGGGTTTTGAGCGTGTGGGGAGAGGGGGGTAGGGAGAGGGTGGGGTGGAGGAGGGGGCAGAAAAACTAAAAAACAAAAAACAAAAATTTAAAAATAAAAATAAAAAGTAAAACTTTTTTTGGGGTTTTGCGCGAGGGTAGGGGGTGGGTGGGGTGGGTGGTGTAGAAAAACAAAAGAACAGGAAATTAAAAATACAAAAAATAAAAAAATTGGGACAATTAAGTAAATTTCTAGATAAGTTAGATTGAGATCCGTTGTTTTTGGTGAGTTTCATGGGTTGTATTTGGGCTGTTAAATGGGTCAGAATGGGCTATAAAAAATAATGGGTTAACTTGGGGTCAACCCAAATTGACCCATGAGCTAAAATGTTTGTAACCCATCTCATTAATCTCGGAGCTAGTTGGGCGGGTTAGATGGGTTTGGGCTCAAAGTGTCACCCCTACTGAAAACTACTCCTTAAAGGGTCCATTGGGTCAAATACGTAAGTTTCTGCAGTTCCAATTTGCAGTAGCTGATTCTCAGACTTATGGTAAGGGGCAATACCAGGCTTGAGTAATATCCTCTTAAGATTGTGATTCCCCGTACTTCCATAAACACTTTTATTTGCATATGTATTGAACCATTTCGAATCTAAAGCCTCCACACTTTTGTACAAGTTATCTATGGATCCCAACCAGAACTCCCTTTTAGAGCATCTTCAATTGATCCTAAGGGAATGGTCAAGAAGTTGAAGAGAAAATCAATGAATTCAGTGCCTGCCTCTGCACACAAGACCTTGTTTGTCGACTTCCTTAGTGTTATCTTCAGCTCTATGTTGTTGGTGTTATTACTGGCTCCATTTTCAGAAATGGACGACAAAATTCCAAACTCGGACATTGAGATAGTGTCTACTCTTGCTCTTTTTTGTTTTTGCTTGGGCAGAAACACATCAGACAAGGGAGTCTTTGAGATCAATGAACGTGCAAGTAGACGAATTACCTAAATGGTCAAGAAAAGGATCATGTTATACGAAAAATCACAACATAACATTTAAAACGTACAAGCAAACATATAACCAGAAAAACAAAATAATAATTAGTTTTATAAAGTCCTGGTAAATTAGTAATCACTAATTTTCTTGACATTATTGCAATTTGAAAAATGGTAAAGGATATTACCTCATTCTTGCCAACTTCTACAAGCATCTCCCCGATTTGATTCATATCACTCAGGCCAACATTAGAAAGCATCTGAACAAGAGAGCTTGGAGAAGCACACTTGAATTGCAAATCGTCAGTGATTAGAAATGATATCCCTCCTTTGAGAAATACATACTTATCACGACAATTATTTTCAACTGAATCTTTCAAAAACTGCTCTTTATTAGTCTTCCCTCCACATTGGCACTTTACATTCATGAAATAGCTCTTAAATGAGCAATTTGAGCACTGATAATACTTCTCGAAGTCTGAATCATCCAATTTAACTTTCAACTTCATGCAATACTTTGGATAGGGATTCCTTGGATTTAGCAGCAGGGTTTTGCAATACTCTGCAAACAGATTTTCCTCGTCAAGGTTTTCAACACTTTGGTACAAGTTGTTCATACAACCAACAGCTCCAGCTTCTGCTTTAGTGAGTCGCATTATCATTCCCAGTGGTAAAGTGAGAAGGCTAACAAGTATGTCCATGAAATCTACTCCGGATTCAGCTGCAACTAACTGATTTTTCTTTCCATCCACCCAAAGCTTCAAGAGAACCTTGGTTTCTTGCGTGTTATCCATTTTAAAGCAGTTAACTGGCGAACACTCTAATGACTTAGCAAACTACTGGCTGATATGAGATAAAAAGTAATTAGTCCCGAGTCGAGATAAGCGTGAATGAAATGGACTTTCTAGCTCTCAAAGCAAAACATGTAAAAATATTGTTCAAGAAATGAAAGAAGTACTTAAAGTAGATAGCATGGATATGGACAAGGAGACACAAACATTTTACTCCCTCCGTCCCAATTTATGTGGCACCGTTTGACTAGGCACAGAAGAAAGAAAGGAAGATTTTTGACACTTGTGGTCTAAGACAGGACTAAGATATTTTTGTGGCTATAAGTCATCTCTTTAAGGATAAAAGGAAAAAGTTAAAGTTAAATTATTTCTAAATATAGAAAGGTGAAATTTTTCGGGACAGATTAAAAAGAAACGAGTTCCACATAAATTGGGACAAAGGGAGTAACAATTAAGGGGGCATGACATGTGACAAATATATTTCTATACATCAAGTGACAAAATGAACAATATGCTGATAAAAATGAACATATGCTGATAAAACAACAATATGTTATTACACATGCCAAAATGACCACCAAAGCCATAGCACAACAATTTTACAAGTCCAGAACTACTAAAATACTACCTCCTGAAGCACACAAAATATATCATTAGGCATCTACAATTTAATAACAATTCCTCTATTTCATTTTATTTTAATCTTTATGATGGTGTTGTCCAAGCGAGGTTGCTTAGCAACGAAAGTAAGTTCAATGAAGGGGTTCAATGGAATGCAAATAGGGTAAAAGTCGAATCTTTTTATGCATTTGATTTCCTTTGACAAAAGGGAAAATTTAAATATAGTGATAAATGTGGTTCAAAAACTGCTTTAGGTCACAAGCTTGAATAGGGTAAATATCATTGTTTTTATATATATACAAAGAAAACTTCAAATGTTAGGGTTCAAAAGTTACTTGAATCCACAAGTTTGAATCTAAGGTGTAGCAATTTGAGGTTGCTCCTGCGTCAACTATTTCATCAGATATTCAAGTAGTTACTCTTGTTTCTCAATTTATTGACAACAATATTCAAAGTATCTTTTTAAATATTCTTAGCTTTAAAAATTACTACTCCAAACTACTTATGCAATATTTAAATATGTAAATTTTATTTTAAAAGAATGTTAAAGAAATGGTTGCTATTTCCAAAGAAGAAGAAGAAGGAAAAATACCTTTGTTGATCGTCGTTTTCTTCTTCTTCTTTGACCACTGCTGGAAGCTACTCAAGGGTTTTACTACTGTAACTTTTCCTCGTAACACTAAAAGCCCCGATGGGTTACCCTTTCTCCCGCTCAATTATTTACTCTTTTCTTTTTTCCCGCTCATTGGTTGGCCAACCTTCTAAAAATCAGATTATTTTTTGAAATGTTTTTCTCAAAAGTGCTTTTAAAAAAGTGTTTTTGGCGAGAAACAATTTGTAGTTGGCTAATTAATTTGAAAAGTACTTTTGAGCAGTAATTATTGTTTGGCCAAGCTTTTAAAAACTGCTTCTAAGTGTATTTTTCTCAAAAGTGCTTTTTTAGAGAACCTACTTTTTTCTGGTTGTCAAAAAATTGCTTCTGCTTCTCCTCTAAAGCACTCTTTTTTCCTTCCAAAAGCTTGGTCAAACAACTCAATTTTTGGCCAAAAGTGCTTTTGGCCCAAAAAAAACTTGGCCAAATAGGCTACTAACTTTGTTGCGCTGATAATATACAAAGTGATATATTTTGATAAATTACAATTTGAATAAACGAAAATGAATCAGTTATATTTTATGTTTTATTTAGTGATTTCATGTAAAAAAAAAAGACGTGTAATTAAAATATTATTTGTCAATTAATAATGTTCTTTTCAATTTTCATTCATTTCCAACTATGAACCCCACTGGTTTTTTATATACTACTTCCTATGTTTGTTTATATGGAAATTATTCTTATTAATCCGTGTCAAAAATGCTGATATTTCTATAATTGAAAATAATTTTACAAACTTTTATTTTTCTATTTTCTTCTTAATGAAAAGTTTTTATAATCATACAAATATTTTAGACCTATAAAGCTTTTATCATTTATGCTATAAAGACAACAAGCTTCATGTAACGACTCGACCGGTCGTTTTGCCTTCTATATCCCGGCTCTCCTAATTAAGACTTCCCATATGTGCTTTTACTGTTTTATGACTTGCGGGGATGGTTGGTTTGGGTTTGAAAGGATTCGGGTTGAAATCGGAACACTTGGTTCCTTAATAGTGGCCTAAGATGGTCAAGTTTGACTTGAGTCAACATTCTGAGTAAACAACCTTGGAACCGGGATTTGATGGTCCAATAGGTTCGTATGATGATTTTGGACTTGGGCGTGGGTTTTGATCGGATTTCGGGTGATCCGGGAGCGTTTTAGCGCTTAGTGTTGGAAGTTGGTGCATTGAAGATTTTCAAGTTCTTTAAATTTGGTTCGAAATAGACTCCGGTATTATCGAGGTCCGTTTGGGATTATGAGCCCGGTAATAGGTCTGTATGGTGATTTATGACTTATAAGCAAAATTTGATGCCATTCTAAGTTGTCTAAGTAAGATTCGACGCGTTCGGAGTTGTTGAAAAGTTTGAAGTTCATAAGTTGATTCAATTTAGTTTTGGGGTGCTATTCTTAGTTTTGATGTTGTTTTACGTGTTCCGAGGGTTCGGGCATGTCCGTATTATATTTATGGACTTGATGGTACAATTGGACGGGGTCTTAGGTGGCTCGGGTGAATTTCGGACCACCCCGAGCTAAGTCTAAAATTTTGTGTTGCTGGTTCTGGTTTCCTTCTTCGCGAACGCGGAGGTGGAGCGCGTTCGCGGAGAAGGAATTGGGGGATTGGGCATTTTTCCCTACGCGTTGGCGAAGCTTCAGGACCTGTGGCATTCGCGTTCGCATAGAATAAAGGGCCTGGGATGGGTTAGCTACCTTTGATCTTCGCGTTCATGAAGGGCTGATCGCGTTCGCGAAGCTCAGGCTGGGCAAGCCTTCGCTTTGTGTGTCTTCCCTCCCGTACGCGATGAAGACCTCCTGGGCCTGGGCTAGCTTTGCCTTCGCGATCACGAGGTCTCTTCCGCTCGCGAAGATAGGTCAACTGGTAGTGTCTTGTTTTAAAACGGGATTTGGGTTCATTTATTCTCATTTCACTTTGGGTTAGCCGATTTTGGAGCACTTGGAGAGGAATTTTTCACCTATTATTATAAGGTAAGTAAGTGCCACTTAATGTGAGTTTAATACACGGATTTTAGTTAGATTTTAACATGTAAGTTGTGAAAATTATAGGATTTTTGTTGAAAAGCCTAGATTTTGATAAAAATGGGATTAGACCACGAAAATGATTATGGAATTGAGTAGAAATTATATATTTGTGTTCGTGAGGTTATGGGTAACATTTATTTACAAAAAAATTCAGAATTCGGGCACGTGGGCCCCAGGGTGAATTTTAGGAACCTTACAATTTGGGTAGGGTAATTACGCTAATAGTAAAATTATAAACTTTTGAGTATATATTGATTAGTTGGTACTATATTTGGCTAGTTTCGGATTTGCGTAGCACCGATTTGAGGCTTTTAGTGTGAATTGTGGACTGGGAAGAGAAATTGGAAACGAGGTAAGTCTCTTGCCTAACCTTGTAAAAGGAAATTATTCATGTAGGTGTTATAAATGGTTATTTGCTAATAATAGTGGGCGCTACATGCTCACGATGTGACGAGAGTCCGTACGTAGCTGAAATCATGCTTATGTCCAGGTAGTTTTAGGACTCCGCCATGTATTACTTGTATTATTTGCACCCAACTTGTTAGTTTAAATACTTAAATTTATAATTGAAATTGGATAAATGATTTGTAAAGACCGAGCTTCATTACTTTGAGTCTTGACGGAATACTTGATTGTTAGCGGAACTTATGCCTTCTTTGAGTATTAATCTTATGTGGTAGTCGTAAATCGGAGCTTGTAGAGTATTCTCTATTCCCGTGGATCGGGCTAAACACCTCGGCAGTATAATAGATGCATCTATGGTTTGTGCCGGTCGACCCTTGGCAGTGTACACATTATTCTGGATCGGGTCGTACGACCTCGGTATAAATCGTACGTGCTATTGCTCGGAGTCCGATTATAGTTGATATTTCTTCTTGATATGAGACTAGGAAATTACTTGGTGGTTCTTATGTGTTAAATACTTGGCCAGTGATAGTTGGAGACTTTAAATAAATATTATGTCTAAGAATTATAAATTTATGCTTCTTATCTCACTATTATTGATATATTTCATGCCTACTTATGGTTTCTGTATTTTATTTATTGACCCTTAGTAAGTGTCGTTGTCGTCACAACTTCTTCTTCAAGGCTAGCCTAGATACTTACTGGGTGCATGTTATTTATGTACCCACGCTACACTTCTGCACTAATCGTGCAGGATCTGAGGTAGGTGCATCTAGCGGCCATTTAGGCGCGTACCCCCACTACCCGGAGACTTAGTGGTGAGCTGCTCCCTATGCTCCGTTCTGCAGTACCCGGAGTCTCTTCCTTATTGAGTATAGGAGATTTTGTATATTCTACTAGTTTGCTCGTGCACTTGTGACACCGGATTTTCGGAGATTCTAGTAGATGTTTCATGACTTTTTATTATTAAATTCACTACTTCACTCTTTTGTTTATTTCATGCTTGACATTATTACGATCACCTATTAATTGCTCCTTTATTAAATAAAATCAATGACTTTAAAAATATTAAAATGAACAATACATGGGAAGTTCACCGTTGGCTTGCCTAGCGGTGACGTTAAGCGCCATCACGGCCTATAGTGGGAATTGGGTCGTGACACTTCAAAAGTTTTCTTTTTTAAACTTCATGCCGAGTCAAAATGTGTGGTACAAAATATAAATTGAACAGGTGGAGTATTAGGTTATTCTATTGTAGATAATTGACTCTAACATTCGTCATTTTAGATTTTATATTTGTCGCTTGTCCAATTTTAGGAGCTATTTAACCAACTCTGCATTCCGAAGTCTTTAAAAAATCAAAAGATTTATTTTTAAATTTTATTTTATTTTATAAATCATGGTAAAAAGTATATGACAAGTTTCAACCATTTTAGATCCAATATTAGGTCGCAAAAATAACAACATATTCCCAAAAGATATTGCCTTCAAATTCAGACGAAATACATGTGCCACGCTTTTGAATAGGTCTTGAATAATATTTGGTTGAAGTAAAGCAGTGAAGAGGCTAGTGGTTCTCATGAAATTATTTGTGCAGGGAGGTTAGATGATTAATGATAATAGGTGAATTTAATTATAATTAGGCCCTAAAGAACCACCTTCTTGTATAGTTTTGATGATAAAAGTGATAACAAAATGCTCTGATTAGTGCTTTTCATGCTTTGCAGGTGATATATGACAAGAGAAGGCTATGGAGTACTTTTGGGATCAAATATGGAGAAAAAGAGGCCAATCGTAAAATTTTGCCAAATGAACCAAGCGAAACAGCTCAAGCCAAGCCTGAAGAAGGACTGCTGCGGTTCCACCGCGACCGCGGCAGAACCGCGATAGAAGATGGTCGCGGATAAGTTGAGATTCAGAGAAGGTGTGTGGCCGCGGTTTGACCGCGATCGCGGCAGAACCGCGGCAGAGGCGGAAGAGTTCAGGGACTTAAGTGCAAAACACGGGATTTTTAGCCCAAAACCCTATTTTAAATACTAGACTTCGCCCAAAGGAGGAAGAATTGGATTGAAGAATATTTTAGCAAGGAAAACAATTGTGAGAGATCACCCAAAACATCTTTCTTCTTTTCTTTGATTTTTCTTGCAAGTTTTATGATGAATATTGTTTTAGTTTGTTTACCCATAGTTATGAGTAGCTAAATCCTTTGTCTAAGGTTTTGATGGAACCTATTGGGGGATGAACTTCTTGTTTATGTGAATACAAATTGCTAGTTCCAATCTCTATTTGTTCAACTATGTGTTTGTTGTAGTTAATTGACAGGATCCTCAATTAGCTGTGCCTATTTAGTGTGCATAACTCGGGAGAGAGTGCATATTTAGGTAATTGTTGAACAACACCACTCCCAAAGTATATGAGGGATCAATAACCGAGGG